TTCTCAGTCACCTGTTACAAAAACGATAATATACATTCATAACCCACAGATATTTACAGCAAAACGTTTTACATGACAAGCATTTACTCTTTCACTACAATACAGTTTTATTTCCATGGGAATATCATGCTACAGCATTCAAATTATACAGGCCACAGAACCTACCTCATTTTCGCGGAGGATGGCAGTCCGGATCAGATGGAGCCAAAGGCGGATAGAGTCAAACTCATCCAGAAGTTCACTGTTAAACAGATGCTTCAGATCTGGAAGATGAAATAAGTCTACAGTCTCCAATTATCCTTCTCAGTTTGAAAAATGAAATGCTCCTTTGAGGTTTTTTTGCCTTTAAGCTTTGTCAAATTGTCACATTTAGATTTAGCATGTCTTTTATTAAATCTATTTTGGATGCTAATCCAGATTCATTATTCTCCATCCTTATCGTTTTACCTTTATTGGAACGTCTTTTCATTTTGATTAACCTCAGTCTAAACTCCTTTCCATCAGACATCATATAGATATCTACATAACCACTCACATCATCGAATTCATTTGTCATCGCCAGTGAAGTTTTTGTTCCAGTAGGGAGACACTGAATGAAATTGATTTCAATCGTTTTCCCGTACTTAACAATCGCATTAACTGTAAGCTAAAACTCACCTGGAGCTGTTCTTGCCCCTCGGAGCCAGTCGCGGCCACAATAAGTCATTTTCAACACTTCTTTCACGGAAAGAGTCCGAAAAAACTTAGTGAGCAAAACTCAAGCATGTTGACATTACCGAGTGGATGTCGGAGTGATTGTCATGACGTCACGTCATTGTGACGTCATAGTACCACGGGAGGTAACCGGATTGAATAAAGACACTCGTACCACTAAATTTAACAATACATATGACCAAACACTAGTGCTTAGCTCCTAAACCTGCAGAAAGTGTTGGACCAGGTTCTTTTCACGATTACTCAAGACATGTTTCCCTGAGCAAGACACATAAACTGTTTTACTTGAAATAAGGAAATCTTAATGACAGAACATGATATTTCGCCTGTATCAATTCCTACAGGTTGCATTGTGTAGTTACTGGCACCGCTGTCTTTTCTGACACGTCTGTTTCACATGCGTGTTATACAGTATATTAACATCTTTAATGCCAGTAGAATATGACCTCCACGCCACCGTGTATTCAACACCTCACGCGTAAATACCGAGATAATTTCAGGACTAAACACCAGGTGTCACAAGCTGAATTTTTATATGATTCCTGAATTCACCACCTCCACCTGCTTTGAAAGTATTTTAATCCGTCGATACATTCATAAGCGCAGACACGTGGCGCCATAGTCTTCTGTTAGATATCCCACATGTGAACAATGTGCAATTTCAGGTTATATTTCCGCAGTCAGTTTAGTTGGAATATTGCTCAAATCAGCGTCAAATCCAGCCCATTCACCCTTTCCTTCATGTGACATAGACGGAACTGACAGTTTTGTAACAGTGTTCGTATGCATGAAGCACCTACCACATTATGCTACATGTCTTAGTCCAACAAGCCATCATCGACAAAGACATTCAGCTATTTACTATATGTGCTTACTATATATACCACCATCCCATTTATATCTTATCTTCCCTCTTTTACCACCAACTGATACAGCACCATCAACCGTTTGTGTAACACACAGGTACATATGAATACTTGATCCTGTGCATGAAGATAAGACCCTAAACTCTGAACCAGACACGCTTTAAAAGTTGTCGGCATCTCAACACACGGCTGTCTAACTGTGTACACGCCAAGGAAAACAGACAACAAACAAGTTCACGTTTCATTCATTCCATTTAATGTCTGCATTTACATAACTGCCAGGAAGAGACATTGGTCAAAGGAATGACGAAATGGCAATGATTTAGAGAAGTAGAAAATTGCAAGCAAAACAGGATTTATATATTCATTTACAAATCATGAATTACAGTTTCATCATTTACAAGGTGTATAACGTCAGACAATATGTACAAGTTCAAACAAATCAAATTCAATGTACACCCATCAAGAAAGGTTTTACAATACATGTGTATCTTTTCACACAGGGAGAACCTGGTTCTTGCTGCTGGTGATGTTCCTGATACCCTGAACAACACGAACAAAGACAGACTTATATCCAGAAGTGTCTCTAACACGGCATTTGACAACAGAAACGTCTGTGGGTTTCACTTTGTTTTTAAAGGCAACATATGCTAGTCTTATACGGACACTGGTGATGAAACGTCTGAGCTTCCCGCCTTTAGGGGGCAGAGCCGGGGGAACCAGTTCTCCCTGGGCGAAGATGGGTGGTGGGAGAAGTCGCGAGAGTCTGTAGTGAGAGGCGGCCGTGGTGACAGTGTTTTGGATGTCGACGAGTGAGTTTCGCACGCTGGGGTGGCGATCATTGCTGAGGAAAAGCTCGGACATCTGTGTCCAACCACAGTCAACCTCTCTCTGTAACATCCACAGATTTCGCTTGCCTCTCTTGTTCTCAGTCACCTGTTACAAAAACGATAATATACATTCATAACCCACAGATATTTACAGCAAAACGTTTTACATGACAAGCATTCACTCTTTCACTACAATACAGTTTTATTTCCATGGGAATATCATGCTACAGCATTCAAATTATACAGGCCACAGAACCTACCTCATTTTCGCGGAGGATGGCAGTCCGGATCAGATGGAGCCAAAGGCGGATAGAGTCAAACTCATCCAGAAGTTCACTGTAAAACAGATGCTTCAGATCTGGAAGATGAAATAAGTCTACAGTCTCCAATTATCCTTCTCAGTTTGAAAAATGAAATGCTCCTTTGAGGTTTTTTTGCCTTTAAGCTTTGTCAAATTGTCACATTTAGATTTAGCATGTCTTTTATTAAATCTATTTTGGATGCTAATCCAGATTCATTATTCTCCATCCTTATCGTTTTACCTTTATTGAAACGTCTTTTCATTTTGATTAACCTCAGTCTAAACTCTTGTCCATCAGACATCAAATACATATCTACATAACCACTCACATCATCGAATTCATTTGTCATCGCCAGTGAAGTTTTTGTTCCAGTAGGGAGACACTGAATGAAATTGATTTCAATCGTTTTCCCGTACTTAACAATCGCATTAACTGTAAGCTAAAACTCACCTGGAGCTGTTCTTGCCCCTCGGAGCCAGTCGCGGCCACAATAAGTCATTTTCAACACTTCTTTCACGGAAAGAGTCCGGAAAAACTTAGTGAGCAAAACTCAAGCATGTTGACATTACCGAGTGGATGTCGGAGTGATTGTCATGACGTCACGTCATTGTGACGTCATAGTACCACGGGAGGTAACCGGATTGAATAAACACACGCGTACCACTAAATTTAACAATACATATGACCATACACTAGTGCTTAGCTCCTAAACCTGCAGAGAGTGTTGGACCAGGTTCTTTTCACGATTACTCAAGACATGTTTCCCTGAGCAAGACACATAAACTGTTTTACTTGAAATAAGGAAATCGTAATGACAGAACATCATATGTCGCCTATATCACGGACATAATTCCTACAGGTTGCATTGTGTAGTTACTGGCACCGCTGTCTTTTCTGACACGTCTGTTTCACATGCGTGTTATACAGTATATTAACATCTTTAATGCCAGTAGAATATGACCTCCACGCCACCGTGTATTCAACACCTCACGCCTAATACCGAGATAATTTCAGGACTAAACACCAGGTGTCACAAGCTGAATTTTATATGATTCCTGAATTCACCACCTCCACCTGCTTTGAAAGTATTTTAATCCGTCGATACATTCATAAGCGCAGACACGTGGCGCCATAGTCTTCTGTTAGATATCCCACATGTGAACAATGTGCAATTTCTGGTTATATTTCCGCAGTCAGTTTAGTTGGAATATTGCTCAAATCAGCGTCAAATCCAGCCCATTCACCCTTTCCTTCATGTGACATAGACGGAACTGACAGTTTTGTAACAGTGTTCGTATGCATGAAGCACCTACCACATTATGCTACATGTCTTAGTCCAACAAGCCATCATCGACAAAGACATTCAGCTATTTACTATATGTGCTTACTATATATACCACCATCCCATTTATATCTTATCTTCCCTCTTTTACCACCAACTGATACAGCACCATCAACCGTTTGTGTAACACACAGGTACATATGAATACTTGATCCTGTGCATGAAGATAAGACCCTAAACTCTGAACCAGACACGCTTTAAAAGTTGTCGGCATCTCAACACACGGCTGTCTAACTGTGTACACGCCAAGGAAAACAGACAACAAACAAGTTCACGTTTCATTCATTCCATTTAATGTCTGCATTTACCAAACTGCCAGGAAGAGACATCGGTCAAAGGAATGACGAAATGACAATGATTTAGAGAAGTAGAAAATTACAAGCAAAGCAGCATTCATATACTCATTTACAAATAATGAATTACAGTTTCATCATTTACAAGATGTATAACGTCAGACAATATGTACAAGTTCAAACAAATCACATTCAATGTACACCCATCAAGAAAGGTTTTACAATACATGTGTATCTTTTCACACAGGGAGAACCTGGTTCTTGCTGCTGGTGATGTTCCTGATACACTGAACAACACGAACAAAGACAGACTTATATCCAGAAGTGTCTCTAACACGGCATTTGACAACAGAAACGTCTGTGGGTTTTACTTTGTTTTTAGAGACAACATATGCCAGTCTTGTACGGACACTGGTGATGAAACGTGTGAGCTTCCCGGCTTTAGGGGCAGAGCAGGGGAACCAATTCTCCCTGGACGAAGATGGGTGGTGGGAGAAGTCGCGAGAGTCTGTAGTGAGAGGCGGCCGTGGTGACGGTGTTGTGGATGTCGACGAGTGAGTGTCGCACGCTGGGGTGGCGATCATTGCTGAGGAAAAGCTCGGACATCTGTGTCCAACCACAGTCAACCTCTCTCTGTAACATCCACAGATTTCTCTTGCCTCTCTTGTTCTCAGTCACCTGTTAGAAAAAACGATATACATTCATATTCCACAGATCTTTACAGCAAAACGTTTTACATGACAAGCATTCACTCTTTCACTACAATACAGTTTTATTTCCATGGGAATATCATGCTACAGCATTCAAATTATACAGGCCACAGAACCTACCTCATTTTCGCGGAGGATGGCAGTCCGGATCAGATGGAGCCAAAGGCGGATAGAGTCAAACTCATCCAGAAGTTCACTGTTAAACAGATGCTTCAGATCTGGAAGATGAAATAAGTCTACAGTCTCCAATTATCCTTCTAAGCTTGAAAAATAAAACGCCCCTTTAACTTTTTGCTTGCCTTTAAGCTTTGTCAAATTGTCACATTTAGATCCAGCATGCCCTTCATCAAATCTATTTTGGCTGCTAATCCAGATTCATTATTCTCCATCCTTATCGTTTTACCTTTATTGAAACGTCTTTTCATTTTGATTAACCTCAGTCTAAACTCTTGTCCATCAGACATCAAATACATATCTACATAACCACTCACATCATCTATTTAATTTGTCATCGCCAGTGAAGTTTTTTCCAGTAGAGAGACACTGAATGAAATTGATTTCAGTCATCAAATCGTTTTCCCGTACTTAAAAATCGCATTAACTGTAAGCTAAAACTCACCTGGAGCTGTTCTTGCCCCTCGGAGCCAGTCGCGGCCACAATAAGTCATTTTCAACACTTCTTTCACGGAAAGAGTCGCAAAACTTAGTGAGCAAAACTCAAGCGTGTTGACATTACCGAGTGGATGTCGGAGTGATTGTCATGACGTCACGTCATTGTGACGTCATAGTACCACGGAGGTAACCGGATTGAATAAACACACGCGTACCACTAAATTTAACAATACATATGACCATACACTAGTGCTTAGCTCCTAAACCTGCAGAGAGTGTTGGACCAGGTTCTTTTCACGATTACTCAAGACATGTTTCCCTGAGCAAGACACATAAACTGTTTTACTTGAAATAAGGAAATCGTAATGACAGAACATCATATGTCGCCTATATCACGGACATAATTCCTACAGGTTGCATTGTGTAGTTACTGGCACCGCTGTCTTTTCTGACACGTCTGTTTCACATGCGTGTTATACAGTATATTAACATCTTTAATGCCAGTAGAATATGACCTCCACGCCACCGTGTATTCAACACCTCACGCCTAATACCGAGATAATTTCAGGACTAAACACCAGGTGTCACAAGCTGAATTTTATATGATTCCTGAATTCACCACCTCCACCTGCTTTGAAAGTATTTTAATCCGTCGATACATTCATAAGCGCAGACACGTGGCGCCATAGTCTTCTGTTAGATATCCCACATGTGAACAATGTGTAATTTCTGGTTATATTTCCGCAGTCAGTTTAGTTGGAATATTGCTCAAATCAGCGTCAAATCCAGCCCATTCACCCTTTCCTTCATGTGACATAGACGGAACTGACAGTTTTGTAACAGTGTTCGTATGCATGAAGCACCTACCACATTATGCTACATGTCTTAGTCCAACAAGCCATCATCGACAAAGACATTCAGCTATTTACTATATGTGCTTACTATATATACCACCATCCCATTTATATCTTATCTTCCCTCTTTTACCACCAACTGATACAGCACCATCAACCGTTTGTGTAACACACAGGTACATATGAATACTTGATCCTGTGCATGAAGATAAGACCCTAAACTCAGAACCAGACACGCTTTAAAAGTTGTCGGCATCTCAACACACGGCTGTCTAACTGTGTACACGCCAAGGAAAACAGACAACAAACAAGTTCACGTTTCATTCATTCCATCTAATGTCTGCATTTACATAACTGCCAGGAAGAGACATTGGTCAAAGGAATGACGAAATTGCAATGATTTAGAGAAGTAGAAAATTGCAAGCAAAACAGGATTTATATATTCATTTACAAATAATGAATTACAGTTTCATCATTTACAAGGTGTATAACGTCACACAATATGTACAAGTTCAAACAAATCACATTCAATGTACACCCATCAAGAAAGGTTTTACAATACATGTGTATCTTTTCACACAGGGAGAACCTGGTTCTTGCTGCTGGTGATGTTCCTGATACACTGAACAACACGAACAAAGACAGACTTATATCCAGAAGTGTCTCTAACACGGCATTTGACAACAGAAACGTCTGTGGGTTTTACTTTGTTTTTAGAGACAACATATGCCAGTCTTGTACGGACACTGGTGATGAAACGTGTGAGCTTCCCGGCTTTAGGGGGCAGAGCAGGGGGGAACCAATTCTCCCTGGACGAAGATGGGTGGTGGGAGAAGTCGCGAGAGTCTGTAGTGAGAGGCGGCCGTGGTGACGGTGTTGTGGATGTCGACGAGTGAGTGTCGCACGCTGGGGTGGCGATCATTGCTGAGGAAAAGCTCGGACATCTGTGTCCAACCACAGTCAACCTCTCTGTAACATCCACAGATTTCGCTTGCCTCTCTTGTTCTCAGTCACCTGTTAGAAAAAACGATATACATTCATATTCCACAGATCTTTACAGCAAAACGTTTTACATGACAAGCATTCACTCTTTCACTACAATACAGTTTTATTTCCATGGGAATATCATGCTACAGCATTCAAATTATACAGGCCACAGAACCTACCTCATTTTCGCGGAGGATGGCAGTCCGGATCAGATGGAGCCAAAGGCGGATAGAGTCAAACTCATCCAGAAGTTCACTGTTAAACAGATGCTTCAGATCTGGAAGATGAAATAAGTCTACAGTCTCCAATTATCCTTCTAAGCTTGAAAATAAAACGCCCCTTTAACTTTTGCTTGCCTTTAAGCTTTGTCAAATTGTCACATTTAGATCCAGCATGCCCTTCATCAAATCTATTTTGGCTGCTAATCCAGATTCATTATTCTCCATCCTTATCGTTTTACCTTTATTGAAACGTCTTTTCATTTTGATTAACCTCAGTCTAAACTCTTGTCCATCAGACATCAAATACATATCTACATAACCACTCACATCATCTATTTAATTTGTCATCGCCAGTGAAGTTTTTTTCCAGTAGAGAGACACTGAATGAAATTGATTTCAGTCATCAAATCGTTTTCCCGTACTTAAAAATCGCATTAACTGTAAGCTAAAACTCACCTGGAGCTGTTCTTGCCCCTCGGAGCCAGTCGCGGCCACAATAAGTCATTTTCAACACTTCTTTCACGGAAAGAGTCGCAAAAACTTAGTGAGCAAAACTCAAGCGTGTTGACATTACCGAGTGGATGTCGGAGTGATTGTCATGACGTCACGTCATTGTGACGTCATAGTACCACGGGAGGTAACCGGATTGAATAAACACACGCGTACCACTAAATTTAACAATACATATGACCATACACTAGTGCTTAGCTCCTAAACCTGCAGAGAGTGTTGGACCAGGTTCTTTTCACGATTACTCAAGACATGTTTCCCTGAGCAAGACACATAAACTGTTTTACTTGAAATAAGGAAATCGTAATGACAGAACATCATATGTCGCCTATATCACGGACATAATTCCTACAGGTTGCATTGTGTAGTTACTGGCACCGCTGTCTTTTCTGACACGTCTGTTTCACATGCGTGTTATACAGTATATTAACATCTTTAATGCCAGTAGAATATGACCTCCACGCCACCGTGTATTCAACACCTCACGCCTAATACCGAGATAATTTCAGGACTAAACACCAGGTGTCACAAGCTGAATTTTATATGATTCCTGAATTCACCACCTCCACCTGCTTTGAAAGTATTTTAATCCGTCGATACATTCATAAGCGCAGACACGTGGCGCCATAGTCTTCTGTTAGATATCCCACATGTGAACAATGTGTAATTTCTGGTTATATTTCCGCAGTCAGTTTAGTTGGAATATTGCTCAAATCAGCGTCAAATCCAGCCCATTCACCCTTTCCTTCATGTGACATAGACGGAACTGACAGTTTTGTAACAGTGTTCGTATGCATGAAGCACCTACCACATTATGCTACATGTCTTAGTCCAACAAGCCATCATCGACAAAGACATTCAGCTATTTACTATATGTGCTTACTATATATACCACCATCCCATTTATATCTTATCTTCCCTCTTTTACCACCAACTGATACAGCACCATCAACCGTTTGTGTAACACACAGGTACATATGAATACTTGATCCTGTGCATGAAGATAAGACCCTAAACTCAGAACCAGACACGCTTTAAAAGTTGTCGGCATCTCAACACACGGCTGTCTAACTGTGTACACGCCAAGGAAAACAGACAACAAACAAGTTCACGTTTCATTCATTCCATTTAATGTCTGCATTTACATAACTGCCAGGAAGAGACATTGGTCAAAGGAATGACGAAATTGCAATGATTTAGAGAAGTAGAAAATTTGCAAGCAAAACAGGATTTATATATTCATTTACAAATAATGAATTACAGTTTCATCATTTACAAGGTGTATAACGTCACACAATATGTACAAGTTCAAACAAATCACATTCAATGTACACCCATCAAGAAAGGTTTTACAATACATGTGTATCTTTTCACACAGGGAGAACCTGGTTCTTGCTGCTGGTGATGTTCCTGATACACTGAACAACACGAACAAAGACAGACTTATATCCAGAAGTGTCTCTAACACGGCATTTGACAACAGAAACGTCTGTGGGTTTTACTTTGTTTTTAGAGACAACATATGCCAGTCTTGTACGGACACTGGTGATGAAACGTGTGAGCTTCCCGGCTTTAGGGGGCAGAGCAGGGGGAACCAATTCTCCCTGGACGAAGATGGGTGGTGGGAGAAGTCGCGAGAGTCTGTAGTGAGAGGCGGCCGTGGTGACGGTGTTGTGGATGTCGACGAGTGAGTGTCGCACGCTGGGGTGGCGATCATTGCTGAGGAAAAGCTCGGACATCTGTGTCCAACCACAGTCAACCTCTCTCTGTAACATCCACAGATTTCTCTTGCCTCTCTTGTTCTCAGTCACCTGTTAGAAAAAACGATATACATTCATATTCCACAGATCTTTACAGCAAAACGTTTTACATGACAAGCATTCACTCTTTCACTACAATACAGTTTTATTTCCATGGGAATATCATGCTACAGCATTCAAATTATACAGGCCACAGAACCTACCTCATTTTCGCGGAGGATGGCAGTCCGGATCAGATGGAGCCAAAGGCGGATAGAGTCAAACTCATCCAGAAGTTCACTGTTAAACAGATGCTTCAGATCTGGAAGATGAAATAAGTCTACAGTCTCCAATTATCCTTCTAAGCTTGAAAAATAAAACGCCCCTTTAACTTTTTGCTTGCCTTTAAGCTTTGTCAAATTGTCACATTTAGATCCAGCATGCCCTTCATCAAATCTATTTTGGCTGCTAATCCAGATTCATTATTCTCCATCCTTATCGTTTTACCTTTATTGAAACGTCTTTTCATTTTGATTAACCTCAGTCTAAACTCTTGTCCATCAGACATCAAATACATATCTACATAACCACTCACATCATCTATTTAATTTGTCATCGCCAGTGAAGTTTTTTTCCAGTAGAGAGACACTGAATGAAATTGATTTCAGTCATCAAATCGTTTTCCCGTACTTAAAAATCGCATTAACTGTAAGCTAAAACTCACCTGGAGCTGTTCTTGCCCCTCGGAGCCAGTCGCGGCCACAATAAGTCATTTTCAACACTTCTTTCACGGAAAGAGTCGCAAAAACTTAGTGAGCAAAACTCAAGCGTGTTGACATTACCGAGTGGATGTCGGAGTGATTGTCATGACGTCACGTCATTGTGACGTCATAGTACCACGGGAGGTAACCGGATTGAATAAACACACGCGTACCACTAAATTTAACAATACATATGACCATACACTAGTGCTTAGCTCCTAAACCTGCAGAGAGTGTTGGACCAGGTTCTTTTCACGATTACTCAAGACATGTTTCCCTGAGCAAGACACATAAACTGTTTTACTTGAAATAAGGAAATCGTAATGACAGAACATCATATGTCGCCTATATCACGGACATAATTCCTACAGGTTGCATTGTGTAGTTACTGGCACCGCTGTCTTTTCTGACACGTCTGTTTCACATGCGTGTTATACAGTATATTAACATCTTTAATGCCAGTAGAATATGACCTCCACGCCACCGTGTATTCAACACCTCACGCCTAATACCGAGATAATTTCAGGACTAAACACCAGGTGTCACAAGCTGAATTTTATATGATTCCTGAATTCACCACCTCCACCTGCTTTGAAAGTATTTTAATCCGTCGATACATTCATAAGCGCAGACACGTGGCGCCATAGTCTTCTGTTAGATATCCCACATGTGAACAATGTGTAATTTCTGGTTATATTTCCGCAGTCAGTTTAGTTGGAATATTGCTCAAATCAGCGTCAAATCCAGCCCATTCACCCTTTCCTTCATGTGACATAGACGGAACTGACAGTTTTGTAACAGTGTTCGTATGCATGAAGCACCTACCACATTATGCTACATGTCTTAGTCCAACAAGCCATCATCGACAAAGACATTCAGCTATTTACTATATGTGCTTACTATATATACCACCATCCCATTTATATCTTATCTTCCCTCTTTTACCACCAACTGATACAGCACCATCAACCGTTTGTGTAACACACAGGTACATATGAATACTTGATCCTGTGCATGAAGATAAGACCCTAAACTCAGAACCAGACACGCTTTAAAAGTTGTCGGCATCTCAACACACGGCTGTCTAACTGTGTACACGCCAAGGAAAACAGACAACAAACAAGTTCACGTTTCATTCATTCCATCTAATGTCTGCATTTACATAACTGCCAGGAAGAGACATTGGTCAAAGGAATGACGAAATTGCAATGATTTAGAGAAGTAGAAAATTGCAAGCAAAACAGGATTTATATATTCATTTACAAATAATGAATTACAGTTTCATCATTTACAAGGTGTATAACGTCACACAATATGTACAAGTTCAAACAAATCACATTCAATGTACACCCATCAAGAAAGGTTTTACAATACATGTGTATCTTTTCACACAGGGAGAACCTGGTTCTTGCTGCTGGTGATGTTCCTGATACACTGAACAACACGAACAAAGACAGACTTATATCCAGAAGTGTCTCTAACACGGCATTTGACAACAGAAACGTCTGTGGGTTTTACTTTGTTTTTAGAGACAACATATGCCAGTCTTGTACGGACACTGGTGATGAAACGTGTGAGCTTCCCGGCTTTAGGGGGCAGAGCAGGGGGAACCAATTCTCCCTGGACGAAGATGGGTGGTGGGAGAAGTCGCGAGAGTCTGTAGTGAGAGGCGGCCGTGGTGACGGTGTTGTGGATGTCGACGAGTGAGTGTCGCACGCTGGGGTGGCGATCATTGCTGAGGAAAAGCTCGGACATCTGTGTCCAACCACAGTCAACCTCTCTCTGTAACATCCACAGATTTCTCCTTGCCTCTCTTGTTCTCAGTCACCTGTTAGAAAAAACGATATACATTCATATTCCACAGATCTTTACAGCAAAACGTTTTACATGACAAGCATTCACTCTTTCACTACAATACAGTTTTATTTCCATGGGAATATCATGCTACAGCATTCAAATTATACAGGCCACAGAACCTACCTCATTTTCGCGGAGGATGGCAGTCCGGATCAGATGGAGCCAAAGGCGGATAGAGTCAAACTCATCCAGAAGTTCACTGTTAAACAGATGCTTCAGATCTGGAAGATGAAATAAGTCTACAGTCTCCAATTATCCTTCTAAGCTTGAAAAATAAAACGCCCCTTTAACTTTTTGCTTGCCTTTAAGCTTTGTCAAATTGTCACATTTAGATCCAGCATGCCCTTCATCAAATCTATTTTGGCTGCTAATCCAGATTCATTATTCTCCATCCTTATCGTTTTACCTTTATTGAAACGTCTTTTCATTTTGATTAACCTCAGTCTAAACTCTTGTCCATCAGACATCAAATACATATCTACATAACCACTCACATCATCTATTTAATTTGTCATCGCCAGTGAAGTTTTTTCCAGTAGAGAGACACTGAATGAAATTGATTTCAGTCATCAAATCGTTTTCCCGTACTTAAAAATCGCATTAACTGTAAGCTAAAACTCACCTGGAGCTGTTCTTGCCCCTCGGAGCCAGTCGCGGCCACAATAAGTCATTTTCAACACTTCTTTCACGGAAAGAGTCGCAAAACTTAGTGAGCAAAACTCAAGCGTGTTGACATTACCGAGTGGATGTCGGAGTGATTGTCATGACGTCACGTCATTGTGACGTCATAGTACCACGGAGGTAACCGGATTGAATAAACACACGCGTACCACTAAATTTAACAATACATATGACCATACACTAGTGCTTAGCTCCTAAACCTGCAGAGAGTGTTGGACCAGGTTCTTTTCACGATTACTCAAGACATGTTTCCCTGAGCAAGACACATAAACTGTTTTACTTGAAATAAGGAAATCGTAATGACAGAACATCATATGTCGCCTATATCACGGACATAATTCCTACAGGTTGCATTGTGTAGTTACTGGCACCGCTGTCTTTTCTGACACGTCTGTTTCACATGCGTGTTATACAGTATATTAACATCTTTAATGCCAGTAGAATATGACCTCCACGCCACCGTGTATTCAACACCTCACGCCTAATACCGAGATAATTTCAGGACTAAACACCAGGTGTCACAAGCTGAATTTTATATGATTCCTGAATTCACCACCTCCACCTGCTTTGAAAGTATTTTAATCCGTCGATACATTCATAAGCGCAGACACGTGGCGCCATAGTCTTCTGTTAGATATCCCACATGTGAACAATGTGTAATTTCTGGTTATATTTCCGCAGTCAGTTTAGTTGGAATATTGCTCAAATCAGCGTCAAATCCAGCCCATTCACCCTTTCCTTCATGTGACATAGACGGAACTGACAGTTTTGTAACAGTGTTCGTATGCATGAAGCACCTACCACATTATGCTACATGTCTTAGTCCAACAAGCCATCATCGACAAAGACATTCAGCTATTTACTATATGTGCTTACTATATATACCACCATCCCATTTATATCTTATCTTCCCTCTTTTACCACCAACTGATACAGCACCATCAACCGTTTGTGTAACACACAGGTACATATGAATACTTGATCCTGTGCATGAAGATAAGACCCTAAACTCAGAACCAGACACGCTTTAAAAGTTGTCGGCATCTCAACACACGGCTGTCTAACTGTGTACACGCCAAGGAAAACAGACAACAAACAAGTTCACGTTTCATTCATTCCATCTAATGTCTGCATTTACATAACTGCCAGGAAGAGACATTGGTCAAAGGAATGACGAAATTGCAATGATTTAGAGAAGTAGAAAATTGCAAGCAAAACAGGATTTATATATTCATTTACAAATAATGAATTACAGTTTCATCATTTACAAGGTGTATAACGTCACACAATATGTACAAGTTCAAACAAATCACATTCAATGTACACCCATCAAGAAAGGTTTTACAATACATGTGTATCTTTTCACACAGGAGAACCTGGTTCTTGCTGCTGGTGATGTTCCTGATACACTGAACAACACGAACAAAGACAGACTTATATCCAGAAGTGTCTCTAACACGGCATTTGACAACAGAAACGTCTGTGGGTTTTACTTTGTTTTAGAGACAACATATGCCAGTCTTGTACGGACACTGGTGATGAAACGTGTGAGCTTCCCGGCTTTAGGGGCAGAGCAGGGGAACCAATTCTCCCTGGACGAAGATGGGTGGTGGGAGAAGTCGCGAGAGTCTGTAGTGAGAGGCGGCCGTGGTGACGGTGTTGTGGATGTCGACGAGTGAGTGTCGCACGCTGGGGTGGCGATCATTGCTGAGGAAAAGCTCGGACATCTGTGTCCAACCACAGTCAACCTCTCTGTAACATCCACAGATTTCGCTTTGCCTCTCTTGTTCTCAGTCACCTGTTAGAAAAAACGATATACATTCATATTCCACAGATCTTTACAGCAAAACGTTTTACATGACAAGCATTCACTCTTTCACTACAATACAGTTTTATTTCCATGGGAATATCATGCTACAGCATTCAAATTATACAGGCCACAGAACCTACCTCATTTTCGCGGAGGATGGCAGTCCGGATCAGATGGAGCCAAAGGCGGATAGAGTCAAACTCATCCAGAAGTTCACTGTTAAACAGATGCTTCAGGTCTGGAAGATGAAATAAGTCTACAGTCTCCAATTATCCTTCTAAGCTTGAAAAATAAAACGCCCCTTTAACTTTTTGCTTGCCTTTAAGCTTTGTCAAATTGTCACATTTAGATCCAGCATGCCCTTCATCAAATCTATTTTGGCTGCTAATCCAGATTCATTATTCTCCATCCTTATCGTTTTACCTTTATTGAAACGTCTTTTCATTTTGATTAACCTCAGTCTAAACTCTTGTCCATCAGACATCAAATACATATCTACATAACCACTCACATCATCTATTTAATTTGTCATCGCCAGTGAAGTTTTTTCCAGTAGAGAGACACTGAATGAAATTGATTTCAGTCATCAAATCGTTTTCCCGTACTTAAAAATCGCATTAACTGTAAGCTAAAACTCACCTGGAGCTGTTCTTGCCCCTCGGAGCCAGTCGCGGCCACAATAAGTCATTTTCAACACTTGTTTCACGGAAAGAGTCGCAAAAACTTAGTGAGCAAAACTCAAGCGTGTTGACATTACCGAGTGGATGTCGGAGTGATTGTCATGACGTCACGTCATTGTGACGTCATAGTACCATGGGAAGTAATTGGATTCAAGTAAAATTCGGGTACCGCTAAATCGAACAAAGTTATGAAGTCAAACATCAGACCACACTCAAGCGCAGCAATGACTTTACATAGAACTCCTGGTAGGAGCGTGACACTACGCAACAAACAAAAAAATGGAGGTGGGGGTGGGTTTGGCTTTCTGAATACATGTTTCATTCATTCCCCTTCTTTCTTTCAAGCGCCTTGATGGAGCAATATTGAACTCACTCACTCGTTAGATACTTAATATATGTTCATGTAACAAAACAAACCTATGCAATGAGCTGAGTTGCAGTAATCGGTGAGATTTGTTAGGACAGGCGCGTAGCAAGCCATTTCTTTCGTGTAAGCCCAATAGGTTGCAAAACTTTATATTTAGATAGTATTGAGTGTTTGCCCAACTTTCATGCTGATCTTTAGCAAAAATCATTTGTAAGCACTGGCTATTTGTTATAATGGTAGCTACGCCCCCTGTAGGATCAGACATATGGGTACTGTGGATGATATGCAAGATATTAAAATGTTTTACAATAAGGGTGTATGATGGCAGACGTTTAATTGGCATTTTGCATTTGAAAATAGTTCGTATTTTCACTCCGATTAAAACAATAAACTTATGGGTCAGTGCAGCATAAGGACAAGTATCATATACGATTGTATGGTCTCTGAATATGCACAGTTGTAATGTTTAGCGGTATCTCGGATATTAGGAGAGTTGTGTCCCTTTGGGCATTTGTCGATCAGCATGGAATCCAACGTGAGGCAGAGAAAGTTCGACTCTAACACAACTAAAGCGAGGGAATCTCCGGATGACGACGCAAAGCAAAATACAGTGGCGTCTCAGGGGTATATTGATAATGTTTTCGTGCAATCAGCTGGTTATGACAAAGCATGATAATGAAAAGCAAATACCCAACAACCAGAGGGTGCCCTCACCGTGATAAATTAACTGTGACATGTTGTGGGATATGTTACTGTATTCAATGAATTGTTATCTGTTTTATTTTTAGTCTTTCAGAATTTAATACTGACAATTATCATGCCCAAATTGTCCTCATTAACCTGGCTTAAAATGCATTTAAACTAATGATGCAATGAGAAATAGAAAGATTTGTGCTTCTATATACAGGTGCATTTCAAATTTATTAGAGGGAAATAGCTTCACTGCATAAATAATAACAATATGAATTCTTTTCTTCATCGATGATTTATACAATTGTACAGATTTTGTTTTTGCCTTTGATCTTTCCTTTTGATATATTTTTTTGTATCTTCCAAAGATGGGGGGCATTTGGTGCTGCGTTCATCCTGGCCAGTGTAATATGTGCCGTGCTCATCCTGGTGATCCTGCCATCGCCGATACAGCCAGTGTCATACAGGTAAACAGTTCACAACCAGTGTTGGTGTTGTACAATACATGTGCTCTTGTTCTGTATGTACTGTATGTCACTTTTTAGACAGTGTAGATCAATTAACATTGGTTTTTAAGGCTTGTAGAGCAGGGCTGCCTAATAAGAGGGGTCGCACTATAGAAAATGTTTTACAAAACGTACCTTCAGAATATATCCCCAGGACCACATGCATGTCATAAAATATTGGGGATCAGTTGTCAGGCTCTGATTTTGTTGGTGTGGGATGTTGAATATGCTGTTAACCAATGATGTTACTGGTCCAGATTCGACTATGGTTGCTGGGATACAGCTAAGCTATTGCTGATTTGGACACAAGAAAAATACTATGTATTGTGTAACGGTATGATAAATCTATTAAATGTGTTCATTATGTCATACTTGTAAACTGGTTTTCATCTAGTGAGATGGGTTTAACGCACTTATAAAGTGATGTGTGTATCTGTGTTTTTGGGGGGCAGTGGGGTAACCTAGGGGTTAAAATTTTCTGTGTCACACCAAACACCCAGGTTCTATTCCCCACATGGGTACAATGTGTGAAGCCCAAATCTGGTGTCCCTACTGTGATATTGCTGGAATATTTCTAAAAGCGGTGTAAAACTAAACTCACTCACTGTGTTTGTGTCTGTGTGCCTGTGGACTTCTGGAAGCATGTAATTAACACTCACTCCTTGTTTGCCCCAGTCTTCCGTCTCGCCCTGCCCTGACAGGTGTCTTGACCCCCAATAACAGGCTGACCGAGGCAGAGCATCTATTTGAGAACAAAATTGAGGGACCCGAGTCGTTGGTGTTTGATGGAGGTAATGGCCTAGTTGAGGCTTTTGTTGTCAATATATATATGATGTGTTCAATTCATACATAAGACAAATTATGGTTTGTTACCTTGGTTGCCCAAACTGCTGACATATAATGTAGTGGTTGGGAATCTATATTTATTATCTTTAACTTCAAACTTTACTTGTAAACAATGAATGAAAAACAAACATGTTTGCCGTGTTTCCAGAATGCCAGGCAGATAAATCCTAATAAGTGTCATTTGCTATAGTGATGTGTGTCTGTCTGTATGTTTCTGTGTCTATTATAATGTTTTTTGCACAAAGCATATGGAATTTAGCATATTACAATGGACTTATTGATATTTTTTACCACAAGGGAGATAAGTCAGGTATGAGTACCACTAAAGGTCAACTGCAATTAGAAGAAAATAAGAATTTAGAAAAAGAATATCAAACATATGAGACACCTTTGTGGAGACATATGTATCAGTGGATACATGAACTAAAATAGACCTGACAGCTGTGCATATACATGTGTGCCATGAGGACATAGGAAGGATTGTGATATTGTGTATGCTATGTTCTTCCCTGTAGATCACCTGTACACAGGGACCATGGATGGAACAATCCTTGACATATACAAGGGGCAGAAGAGGGTACTAGCCAGGCTTGGCAGAGAACCGTGTGGTAAGTCTAGACTGATACATACAATATATATAGGGTGCTAGCCAGAGGTAAGTCTAGACTGATACATACAATATATATAGGGTGCTAGCCAGAGGTAAGTCTAGACTGATACATACAATATATAGAGGGTGCTAGCCAGAGGTAAGCCTAGACTGATACATACAATATATAGAGGGTGCTAGCCAGAGGTAAGTCTAGACTGATACATACAATATATAGAGGGTGCTAGCCAGAGGTAAGTCTAGACTGATACATACAATATATAGAGGGTGCTAGCCAGAGGTAAGTCTAGACTGATACATACAATATATAGAGGGTGCTAGCCAGAGGTAAGTCTAGACTGATACATACAATATATAGAGGGTGCTAGCCAGAGGTAAGTCTAGACTGATACATACAATATATAGAGGGTGCTAGCCAGAGGTAAGTCTAGACTGGATACATACAATATATAGAGGGTGCTAGCCAGAGGTAAGTCTAGACTGATACATACAATATATAGAGGGTGCTAGCCAGAGGTAAGTCTAGGTGGATACATACAATATATAGAGGGTGCTAGCCAGAGGTAAGTCTAGACTGATACATACAATATATAGAGGGTGCTAGCCAGAGGTAAGTCTAGGTGGATGTATACAATATATAGAGGGTGCTAGCCAGAGGTAAGTCTAGACTGATACATACAATATATAGAGGGTGCTAGCCAGAGGTAAGTCTAGACTGATACATACAATATATAGAGGGTGCTAGCCAGAGGTAAGTCTAGACTGATACATACAATATATAGAGGGTGCTAGCCAGAGGTAAGTCTAGACTGATACATACAATATATAGAGGGTGCTAGCCAGAGGTAAGTCTAGACTGATACATACAAATATATAGAGGGTGCTAGCCAGAGGTAAGTCTAGACTGATACATACAATATATAGAGGGTGCTAGCCAGAGGTAAGTCTAGACTGATACATACAATATATAGAGGGTGCTAGCCAGAGGTAAGTCTAGACTGATACATACAATATATAGAGGGTGCTAGCCAGAGGTAAGTCTAGACTGATACATACAATATATAGAGGGTGCTAGCCAGAGAGGTCTAGACTGATACATACAATATATGGTGCTAGCCAGAGGTAAGTCTATACAATGGTATAGAAGGGTGCTAGCCAGAGGTAAGTCTAGACTGATACATACAATATATAGAGGGTGCTAGCCAGAGGTAAGTCTAGACTGATACATACAATATATAGAGGGTGCTAGCCAGAGGTAAGTCTAGACTGATACATACAATATATAGAGGGTGCTAGCCAGAGGTAAGTCTAGACTGATACATACAATATATAGAGGGTGCTAGCCAGAGGTAAGTCTAGACTGATACATACAATATATAGAGGGTGCTAGCCAGAGGTAAGTCTAGACTGATACATACAATATATAGAGGGTGCTAGCCAGAGGTAAGTCTAGACTGATACATACAATATATAGAGGGTGCTAGTCAGAGGTAAGTCTAGACTGATACATACAATATATAGAGGGTGCTAGCCAGAGGTAAGTCTAGACTGATACATACAATATATAGAGGGTGCTAGCCAGAGGTAAGTCTAGACTGATACAGATACAATATATAGAGGGTGCTAGCCAGAGAGGTAAGTCTAGGTGGATGTATACAATGGTAGAAGAGGGTGCTAGCCAGAGGTAAGTCTAGACTGATACATACAATATATAGAGGGTGCTAGCCAGAGGTAAGTCTAGACTGATACATACAATATATAGAGGGTGCTAGCCAGAGGTAAGTCTAGACTGATACATACAATATATAGAGGGTGCTAGTCAGAGGTAGGTCTAGACTGATACATACAATATATAGAGGGTGCTAGCCAGAGGTAAGTCTAGGTGGATGTATACAATATATAGAGGGTGCTAGCCAGAGGTAAGTCTAGACTGATACATACAATATATAGAGGGTGCTAGCCAGAGGTAAGTCTAGGTGGATGTATACAATGGTAGAAGAGGGTGCTAGCCAGAGGTAAGTCTAGACTGATACATACAATATATAGAGGGTGCTAGCCAGAGGTAAGTCTAGACTGATACATACAATATATAGAGGGTGCTAGCCAGAGGTAAGTCTAGACTGATACATACAATATATAGAGGGTGCTAGCCAGAGGTAAGTCTAGACTGATACATACAATATATAGAGGGTGCTAGTCAGAGGTAAGTCTAGACTGATACATACAATATATAGAGGGTGCTAGCCAGAGGTAAGTCTAGACTGATACATACAATATATAGAGGGTGCTAGCCAGAGGTAAGTCTAGGTGGATGTATACAATGGTAGAAGAGGGTGCTAGCCAGAGGTAAGTCTAGACTGATACATACAATATATAGAGGGTGCTAGCCAGAGGTAAGTCTAGACTGATACATACAATATATAGAGGGTGCTAGCCAGAGGTAAGTCTAGACTGATACATACAATATATATAGAGGGTGCTAGCCAGAGGTAGAGTCTAGACTGATACATACAATATATAGAGGGTGCTAGCCAGAGGTAAAGTCTAGACTGATACATACAATATATAGAGGGTGCTAGCCAGAGGTAAGTCTAGACTGATACATACAATATATAGAGGGTGCTAGCCAGAGGTAAGTCTAGACTGATACATACAATATATAGAGGGTGCTAGTCAGAGGTAGGTCTAGACTGATACATACAATATATATAGGAGGGTGCTAGCCAGAGGTAAGTCTAGACTGATACATACAATATATAGAGGGTGCTAGCCAGAGGTAAGTCTAGACTGATACATACATATATAGAGGGTGCTAGTGAGAGGTAAGTCTAGGTGGATGTATACAATGGTAGAAGAGGGTAAGTCTAGCTGATACAGAGTAAGTCTAGGGAGGATACTGATACATACAATATATAGAGGGTGCTAGCCAGAGGTAAGTCTAGACTGATACATACAATATATAGAGGGTGCTAGCCAGAGGTAAGTCTAGACTGATACATACAATATATAGAGGGTGCTAGCCAGAGGTAAGTCTAGACTGATACATACAATATATAGAGGGTGCTAGCCAGAGGTAAGTCTAGACTGATACATACAATATATAGAGGGTGCTAGCCAGAGGTAAGTCTAGACTGATACATACAATATATAGAGGGTGCTAGCCAGAGGTAAGTCTAGACTGATACATACAATATATAGAGGGTGCTAGCCAGAGGTAAGGTCTAGACTGATACATACATATATAGAGGGTGCTAGCCAGAGGTAAGTCTAGACTGATACATACAATATATAGAGGGTGCTAGCCAGAGGTAAGTCTAGGTGGATGTATACAATGGTAGAAGAGGGTGCTAGCCAGAGGTAAGTCTAGACTGATACATACAATATATAGAGGGTGCTAGTCAGAGAGGTGGAGGTGAGTCTACAGTATATAGAGGGTGCTAGCCAGAGGTAATAGACTGATACATACAATATAGAGGGTGCTAGCCAGAGGTAAGTCTAGACTGGTGCATACAATATATAGAGGAGGGTGCTAGCCAGAGGTAAGTCTAGACTGATACATACAATATATAGAGGGTGCTAGCCAGAGGTAAGCCTAGTGGATACATACAATATATAGAGGGTGCTAGCCAGAGGTAGAAGTCTAGACTGATACATACAATATATAGAGGTAAGTCTAGACTGCTAGCCAGAGGTAAGTCTAGGTGGATGTATACAATGGTAGAAGAGAGGGTGCTAGCCAGAGGTAAGTCTAGGTAAGTCTAGACTGTAAGTCTAGACTGATACATACAATATATAGAGGGTGCTAGCCAGAGGTAAGTCTAGACTGATACATACAATATATAGAGGGTGCTAGCCAGAGGTAAGTCTAGACTGATACATACAATATATAGAGGGTGCTAGCCAGAGGTAAGTCTAGACTGATACATACAATATATAGAGGGTGCTAGTCAGAGGTAAGTCTAGACTGATACATACAATATATAGAGGGTGCTAGCCAGAGGTAAGTCTAGACTGATACATACAATATATAGAGGGTGCTAGCCAGAGGTAAGTCTAGACTGATACATACAATATATAGAGGGTGCTAGCCAGAGGTAAGTCTAGGTGGATGTATACAATGGTAGAAGAGGGTGCTAGCCAGAGGTAAGTCTAGACTGATACATACAATATATAGAGGGTGCTAGCCAGAGGTAAGTCTAGACTGATACATACAATATATAGAGGGTGCTAGCCAGAGGTAAGTCTAGACTGATACATACAATATATAGAGGGTGCTAGTCAGAGGTAGGTCTAGACTGATACATACAATATATAGAGGGTGCTAGCCAGAGGTAAGTCTAGACTGATACATACAATATATAGAGGGTGCTAGCCAGAGGTAAGTCTAGGTGGATGTATACAATGGTAGAAGAGGGTGCTAGCCAGAGGTAAGTCTAGACTGATACATACAATATATAGAGGGTGCTAGCCAGAGGTAAGTCTAGACTGATACATACAATATACAGAGGGTGCTAGCCAGAGGTAAGTTAAGGTGGATGTATACAAGGCTAGAAGAGGGTGCTAGCCAGAGGTAAGTCTAGGTGGATGTATACAATGGTAGAACAGGGTGCTAGCCAGAGGTAAGTCCAGGTGGATGTATACAATGGTAGAAGAGGGTGCTAGCCAGAGGTAAGTCTAGGTGGATGTATACAATGGTAGAAGAGGGTGCTAGCCAGAGGTAAGTCCAGGTGGATGTATACAATGGTAGAAGAGGGTGCTAGCCAGAGGTAAGTCAAGGTGGATGTATACAAGGGTAGAAGAGGGTGCTAGCCAGAGGTAAGTCAAGGTGGATGTATACAAGGGTAGAAGAGGGTGCTAGCCAGAGGTAAGTCAAGGTGGATGTATACAATGGTAGAAGAGGGTGCTAGCCAAAGGTAAGTCCAGGTGGATGTATACAATGGTGGAAAAAAGTGCTAGCCAGAGGTAAGTCAAGGTGAATGTATACAAGGCTAGAAGAGGGTGCTAGCCAAAGGTAAGTTTAGGTGGATGTATATAAGGCTAGAAGTAGGTGCTAGCAAGAGTTAAGGCTGGGTTTATGTATACAAGGGAAGAAAATGGTGCCAGGCAGAGGTATGCCTAGAATTTTTGAAAGGTCATGTTTTTATGTTTTGCTGAACCTATTAACAAAAAGACAACTGTATCATGGGTGTGTGGATTTGATTTCAGGAGGTTATGCAAATGAGCCGACCTGTGGACGACCTCTTGGCTTGAGAATGAACAAAGATGGCTACCTGATAGTAGCAGATGCCTACCTGGGACTTTTCCAGGTCAACGTAGCAACAGGTGAGAGAGGAAGCTATGACTGACTGACTGAGTTTGGTTTTACGCCGCTTTTAGCAATATTCCAGCAATATCACGGCGGGGAACACCAGAAATGGGCTTCACTGATTGTACCCATGTGGGGATTCGAACCCGGGTCTTCGGCGTGACGAGCCAACGCTTTAACCACTAGACTACCCCACCGCCCCAGGAAGCTATGAAGAAGGTGATGACTGCTAACTGTCATGATAGGCAACTAAACAACACATTAGGAGAACAGATTGACCATATATTGTGAGCAACAGTAAAGGCATATAAAAAAGTGAGTGAGTGAGTTTAGTTTTACGCCGCATTCAGCAATATTCCAGCTATATGGCGGCGGTCTGTAAATAATCGAGTCTGGACCAGACAATCCAGTGATCAACAGCATGAGCATCGATCTGTGCAATTGGGAACCGATGCATATAACAAGACCCTTGCAGGGCGGTTTACATATACTACTCAAAAGAAGGAAAAGAAGTCCCTGTTGTTTCTTATTACCATGGTTACTCTGTCATGCTGTACCTAATTTAACTGTTTGGTTCTAGAAGTTGGTGAGTGTAAGAAGCAGATGTTTATGATGATCCACCCATCCTCATACCTGAAGTCACCATTGTCAGTAAGAAGACGAAGCCTGGTTCTACAGCTACATCGGCATTGTTATCAGCGCAGACATTGACAGAAGACCTACTATCAACGCAGACATCGGGTACCAGAGATAGTAGCAGCGTTAACTCTTCAAAAGTGCAGCGAGCCTTAGATGACGTCTCTTCAGTATCAGATGCATCATCCCTGCAGCAGTCTCTTCAGACAATGCAGAACTTCAACCTGGGACTGTTCATGCATCAGTTTACAGACCAGATGATGTCGATGATGGAATGTCGCTTCACTCAGGAGAAGGCTGCTATGAAGACCTCTACAACGACTACTAGCCTGCGTGAAGGCTCTACAGTCTCCCCACCACATCCGGATGAAGAGGAAAGCCTGCGCGAAGGCTCACGGACACAACGATCGTCCCCATCTGAAGTGAGGAGTCTGGACTCCACTACCAACGTAGACGCTCCAAAGATTGCTGCTAAGAAGTCTCCACGCAGGAAGGAATCGAGGCGTTCTCCTGAACCCTACAGACGTCGCAGATATGAGTCTGCATCTCCATCGGACTCTGACGCCCATCAAGAGCCTGCGCGAAGGCACTTCTACAGAGGGGAAGCTACGTTCAGGAACCCACCTTCGCGAAGGCCTAGAGAATTATCTTAAAACTCCAGGAAGGATTCAAGGTCACATCGGGATTGATCGCCGGCGTGAAGCTCATCTTACAGATCATCCTATAGAGACTCAAGTCGTCGTGCATCCATAGAGCGAGAGAGATGTCTAAATCAGAGGATGAAGGTGAAGGCATATTCTCCGATATGGAAGTTAACTCCTGGATCGCCAATGGCTTGGACTTCATCACCTTCTAAGGACACAGATGAGGCGTTTACCTACAAGATGTCCAACGATTATTTCGACACGCTCACCTTTCCACCAATCGACCCGATCTCTCAAGTACCAGACAACCTTTTGATAAAGCCACCAAGTCGCAGAATCAGCACATCCCGACGTTCAACGCCAGGAAATTCCCTCTACATAGGATGGAACCCTTCCTGAAGGCTCCAGAGGTTGATGATGACTACAAGATTATCACCGACTCCCATCAAAGAACTTACAAGATAGAGGATAAGAAGTTAGAGCAGCTGGATGCAACCACCAGATGTACTTTCTTCGGATTAGCCGGATCGAGGGCTATCAACGAAACTCTCATCTCGAAGTTCAAGAATTCCCCGGCCGAAGAAGACCGGATGATATACTCCGCTCTACTAATGCAGAAGAGGGACCATCAGTTTATGTCGGAGCACCTAGCATCCACATCAGCGGGCTTGACTCTCCTGAGAAGACAAGGGTTATTGTCAGCATGCACTTGGAGTGAACGCTTCACCAAGTCCTTATACAGAGCCCCATGGTCAGCATCTTACATCTTCGGAGGAGGAATTGAAGAAGTCGCCAGAGAAGTCTCTCACGACTCAAGGGAGGTTATGATGGTTAAATCCATCGACACCTTGGCTAACGTGATTCCTCAGACGTCCCAACGCTACTCCAATAAATCTAAGTTTGCAGGAGTCCAGAGAGCCAGAGAAAAGAAGTATTCCAGCATGAAAGGAGGAAGAGGCTCCTTTCGTCGCCCAACCGGAGCTCCTAGAGGTAACCCCAGAAGAGGCCGAGCACCTAGGGGTGCAAGAGGAATCAAGCGCTGAAGGCCAGGTTCGGAAGGACTGGAGTCTTTCACCCCCAGCCGTTCCTGTACAACCTTCGACAGTGGGTGGACGTTTTCAACGGTACTGGGAGAATTGGGGAATACTACAGGACGACTACGTATCCCAGATAATGCGCAGAGGGTACAAGATACAGTTGGAAGCCACTCCGCCACTCACAAGCAACCTGATGGCCTTCAACTATGAAGCCGACCAGATAGAGAAACTGGACGATGCTATCAAACCCTACTCAACAAAGAGGCAGTAGAAGAGATAGATCAAGATCTCATCACGCCGGGTTCTACTCCCCAATTTTCCTGGTACAGAAGGAGAATTCCAAGGAGAAATTTCGGCTCATCTACAACATGAGGAACTTCAACCAGGAGTATCTACGCAGACCAGCAAAATTCAAGATGATACATCGTCCTCAGCTCCGACATCTCGTTCATCCAGCTTGAATTTTCATCTCCTTGTTTTAGTTCTCTGTAAGTAGACTTTAAGTACTCTGACTAGGCATAAGGATAGATCCTGCGTATCCTGTGAACCAAGGACTGTAGATAGTGCTGGGATGTGGAACTGTCTGTCAGGCTGATCAGGCAGTTGGTTCTTGGCGATGAAATCCCATCTCAGTCCAAGATGTACGATGTCACGATGTCTTGATTCAAATCGTGTTCGTTCAAAGTCCAGAGCATGTATTTCTGATATCCTTACAGCTGTTGCTAGGGCGATCAGGAACAGCATTTTCTGAGTTAGTAGTTCAAAGGATGTCCATTCTAGAGGCTCGTAGGCATCACTGGTCAGATGTTGTAGAACTATGTTGAGATCCCAGGCAGGAGCCTTAAATTTCTTTTGTTGGTCTTCCAACTTGAACGAGCGTAGTAGTGCCAGAATCTCTGGTACTTTGGTCAGCTTGATACCCAATTTCATGGGGATAACTGTACTGAGGGCAGCTAAGTAAGTTGAGAGTGTTGAACCTTTTAACTGTCTCGTCTGTCGTGGATGACATAAGTATTCCGCCACAACCTGTACACTTGAAAGTCTAAACCCAAACTTACACAAATGCCTCTCAAAGAAGTCAAACTTACACACATGCTTCTTGTGTAAATGCTAGATATCTGTATATTACTATCTATAATACTCTACTTTGACAGGAATATTCTTATTTTCCCATGATACACTATAACTATTCTTATAAAATGTCAAGTCTATATCTAACAATGGACCTATCAACAAATGTAAGTGACTGGTTGAAATATGCAGCTTGGTCCAGGCGTGATTATTTATTGGGGTAATAATCAGCTGAGAATGCTTCGAAGTCGTACACAGCTGTATATGTATTAGTAGTTGTAAAGGTAGTATCATCTAGGTAGCATCAGTTACTCAGAAATGACCAAATAAAAATAATGCAGTAGCCTCATTTTGAAGTCAGGTTACATACTGTCTAAGTCAGAGCCATGTATATTACTCAAAAGAAGTAAGGAACAACCAGTTCATATAAAATGATTCTAATAGAAGATAAGTTAAGAACAACCTGCTTCCTTCTTACCACTGTTGGTAATCTGTCATGACATAATCAGGGGTGTGACACAGCAAACAATCTACAGCTGACCAATCCACCCCCGTGGTGGAGTGGTTAGAGTAGAGTATTATAGATAGTAATATTATAGATAGTAATATACAGATATCTGGCATTTACACAAGAAGCATGTGTGTAAGTTTGACTTCTTTGAGAGGCATTTGTGTAAGTTTGGGTTTAGACTTTCAAGTGTACAGGTTGTCTTTCTTGTCCCCTTGGCGCTATGCTCTGATGATGAAAACATGCTCAAGACGACAGCTTCCATTCACTTATGACGGTCTTTGTCACATTCTGAAACTTCTTCTGTGTAGATGGTCAGACAAGGTATGCCAGAATCAAACGCCCCAGATATGTTATGAATCATGGAAACCCACATTTTGCCCTTTTACCCGCATTGACAGGTATTTATAATTTACCATGAATTACTATGTATAACATTTAATTGTTCTCGTCATGATATGGCTGAAATATTGCCAATGTGACGATAAATTGTAACTCACTCACTCACCTTTTACCCACAGGTAAATTTACCCCAGAGCAAACATGGTGTAGATATTACAGCTGCAATATTTAATATTTTGGTAAAATCATTGGGCTGGGATATTGTGCAGACATATAAGAAAAACAACAAAATTGATATACTTCAGGTGATGTCCATGAGATGTACTCCTCACAAGAGCCTGTCAATGGTCAAAGACCTCAGTTTCTGAATGACCTTGACATTGGAAGTGACGGAACTATTTACTTGAGTGACTCCAGCACAAGATGGGGAAGAAGAGAAAACAGATACTGTATCATGGAAGCTGAGGAATCAGGAAGGTTGGGACACAACCTTGGAGATAATTAGAGTTGTTGCATGTTGTGATGATTATGATTTTTCGGGGGGGTGGGGGTGGGTGTTCATCAATTTTGTACACTAGTACTAGGGGGGTCAGCAATTTTGTACATGTAGATATTTAAAATATATGCTTCACAAATATGGGAAGGAGAAGGGGGGTCATTGATTTAGTACATGACATGCAAGGGGGCTCACTTACTTTGTACATAAATTTTTATTTATTTATTTTTGGGGGGTTGTGTGTGTGTGTGTGTCTGTCTGTGTGTGTCTGTGTGTGTGTGTGTGTGTGTGTCATTGTACATGCTTCTCCATAAAAATCATCACTCCCCCTATCCATAAATTATGAACTGTCCCTAATGGATGTCGTGGTCCAATTGCAGAGTTCCAAATAAGCCTTTGGTCATGTGGGTACGATACCCATACTTTTAAAACTAAGTGGGTATTTCCAATTTCAAGTGGGTATCTATACTTTTTGATACCCACCATATATTTAAGATCCGGGTATTCATTTCAAATAACAAGTATAAGAGGTGTGCCAGACACACACTACAACGTCACCTCATAAGACTGTAGCAACTGTTTGTTTTATTTCAAAACCTTATTCCCATCATGTTGTTTCACTTCCACACCGCGAGTAGCTAATGTTACAAGTTTATTTAAGATATCACTGGCAATTGATTCTGACTGTGAAACACAGCATAATATTAATTCATCTAGCAGTCCTCTAACGAAGCTGTTTTCTGATTGTAGAGTAAAGAAACCTAGATATTTTACTTTGATCGTGTGGATGCTTTCAATCATGCTTGCTTTGTTTACAGGACATGTACACAGGAAACAGCTATTTCATTGGTTACTATTTATAGATTGGCCAATCAGTGAAGGGTTAACAAACCATGACTGGTATTCTATCTGCATTGAGCATCTTAATTGCATTTAGAATTATTCAAGAATATTTGAATCGCGACTATTTGGAGATGGACAAGTTTGTTTCGATTGGCTTGAATTGATACTCACCATAATTTTGATGTATTGGGTAAATACGCATTCTTATTTTAACATAGCGTAAAGGTAAATATTTAGTGTTTTTTCATTTGCTGGCATTTATTTTTCTTGTGTATTTCAATTTTTCTATAGCGTATTATACGCAAATACGCAGCTTATCTGGAGCACTGCATTTGGTAATCTCTTGAAAACTGGAACCTGGACTATTTGTTGATTAAGAAAGCATTTGATTTGCATAATTCTCACTGTTAGGTTCCACGTTTATTATTAGGCATGAGTGTCACTCACTCACTCACTCACTCACTCACTCACTCACTCACTCACTCACTCACTCACTCACTCACTCACTCACTCACTCACTCACTCACTCACTCACTCACTCACTCACTCACTCACTCACTCACTCACTCACTCACACCAACCAACCAACCAACCACACTCATTCAACTACTCACTTACTGATCCACTAAACCATTGTATTGTTCAGTTTTCATACATTGTTTTGCTCAGTTTTCGTACATTGGGCCTGATACAGAAGTGAATTGATGGATTGAGTCATCTAGAAAACAGAATGAGCATAGTTAACTGACTGACCCATGCATTTCATGTTGCCTACAACTCAGTAATATCACTAACGCCAGCATGTTTCTTTCAGAGTGATGTCTTTTAATCCCACGACCCGAGAAATGACAGTTTTGATGGACGGGCTTGCGTTTGCAAATGGTGTCCAGTTGTCCTCCGATGGGGAGTTTCTGCTGGTGTGTGAAACTACAAAGGCGAGGATTTGGAGGTACATTGTGAAGTATTACATGACTTGTTTCACCTGAAAACACCACCAGTTACATGATATTGCTACAACACAGGGATTTTGTATGTTTTCCAGCAAGATGTGTCTAAATGGCCAATAGTTTTTAGACAAATGAAAAATTTCACAGTTTAGGAGAAATACCAATTTTCGAAAATCTTCCATTTTTGCTTTTACTTTTGCTTTAACACATTTCAACATACAGCTCGGTCTTTAAGTGGCTATTTGTTGTGTTTTTATTATTCTCAGCTAGTGCCAGTCTTACATTAACTTCCCACTCAAAAAGGAATAAAAGGGTTTTATAACTACTATGTCAGAATATTTGTCACCTAGCTTTCGAAAAAATGTAATTAATTTCTCCCTTGCTATAGAGAACAATATTCAGATAAGGGATGTATCTCTGCCTAGCATTACATTACATATTCTGCTGTTAAGCTCTCAGTACTGATACTTATTGTTCACTCTGAATAAATTATTCTAATGATGATACTGTAGAATGGAGATGAGAAATATTTGAACTGAAATGGATGACCTTACACAAAATACACTAACTGAGTTATGTCAGCCTTAGTACACTGCCCCTCAGTAAGGCAGTGAGTTAGTTCCATCTGTGTTGTCCTTCCACTCAGATACTGGCTGAAGGGACCTAAGACAGGCCAGAAGGAAGTTTTCATGGACAACCTGCCTGGACTTCCTGACAACATCAGGCGTAACCGCCGGGGGACATACTGGGTTGGCCTGGCAACAGTCTGCGCAGGGCAGATAAGTTCTCCATGCTGGACTTCACATGTGACAAACCCTGGCTGAGAAGCCTCATCACCAAGGTACAGTGACACAGTTGTCTCCCCTTAGATTTGGCAGACGGTGAACATGTGGCTTGAGTTAAATTCAGACAGGATCTGAAATACTACATTCATGATTCACATGAATGAGTAAGAGAATACTGTTTAATATTTGGGATTTGTTATTTATTTTAAGGATAGGTGGTATTTATGTTAGATGTCTGTTCATCTGTTATTGTTCAATTTGTGGGACATAACTGAAGGAAGTGACATGTTTCTTTAAAAAACACCATCTATGGTTAAGATAATGGACACTTGCACTGCATCAATGGTTTGATCACAGCTTTATATAAAATTACAGGATAGGCCTTGCTTTTTACATATTTGCTGTCTGAATTGCTCTTGTCTTTATATATTTAGATTGTTTCTCAAGAAACCATCGTCAGTGTTATCCCCAAGTACGGCCTGTTATTGGAGGTGGACAAGACAGGGCAGATCGTACAGAGTCTACATGATCCAACAGGAACTGTAGTGCCCTCAGTCAGTGAAGCCGAGGAGAAGGATGGAGTTATCTACCTTGGATCTTACAATCTCCCATTTCTGAGCAGACTGCGTTTGAAGAAAACAGGATAATGATTTGATTTTTTTCTGGATTTCTTTTTGAATAGAGTATATTTTTTGGCAGTCATATTTATGCCGGCTGTAGACTATAATCATTTTCTATTTTTCCATTTGGATGAAACTTTCCAACATATATATCAGTCTTTTTTATGTGTGAGTGAGTCCGTGAGTTTGATTTGATGACATTTTCAGCTGTGGCCAATGATATTATGGTGTGTTAGCTTGGGAGGAAAGTCTGCAGTGATGTAAGTCACCACTTCTGTGAAATGAAGCACGAGTTGGGTGTTGACTAACCTAGAAACATAGTCAGGTTCAACCAGGATTCAAACCCTAAAGGGGTGGTGGGGTAGCCTAGTGGTTAAAAAATTGGCTCGTCACGCCGAAGACCCGGGTTCGAATCCCCACATGGGTACAATGTGTGAAGCCCATTTCTGGTGTTCCCCGCCGTGATGTTGCTGGAATATTGCTAAAAGCGTTGAAAACCAAACTCAGTCAGTCAGTCAGTCGAACCCTAAATCATAGAAGGGTACACTCTGCACAGCAAATTTCAGTGTCTTTGACAACTGGACCACCTTTACCCACTCAACCTTCTGCTGTACTTGATGTTTTGGTGATTGTTTCCTTTTGTGCCAACTTATTGATCATCACAGAAAAGTGTTTTCAAAAGACCAACAGAACATATAGTTTTACTACACGACTACATGTGTAGTGAATAGTAGGACTCACCATGTATGTTCCACTTGTTGCAATAGTTGAACTTTTGACTTTGATTTGACCTTTGTACTTTTACCATTTTTGTTATTCTATTATAATGTGATCTAAGCTCTAGTAGCATTGCCTCCTGTGAAAGTACTAGACTGAGGAAACTGAACTTTGACATGTATAATTCTTTGTGTGATGACATCATATTTTGTTCAAATCTGTACTGTTCAGATGTTAATATTCTATATTTATGAAGAACTTTGTTGAATGTCAGTTTCTGCTGTTGTGTGGTGGCCTTGAAGTTTAAATATCAATGTAGAGTAGCTGTGGCACTATTTTTGTTATCAAATATAATGGATTTACCCCATCTAGTCAAAATTATCAAATCTGCCAAACATGTAATATTACCATTGCGATAAGAACATAGAATCTCAATCAGACACTTCCTTCTGAAATATTTTAAATGTGCAATGACCATCCCTAGGACATCCAGGGTGTCTGGTTCCAATGGATAGCACATGATTCATATTACGCCAAAATATTTATATTTGCCTCCTTACTTTTGAGCAGTCTTCCTGTCTGTAATGAGGTATCGCCACACGTGACGTCAGCTGATTCTCATTAAGCAGACGTCAACATTAGATTGCATGAACTTCCCCTGATGAGTAGCTCAACATAACATGTCCTGGCCCCGATTTCTCGAAACAAACTTAAGTCTGAGTTTTGACTTAAGTTAGAGTTTTTACTCAAATTTGAGACAATGCAGGAAAATGCATTTCCCAGAATAAACTGAAATCGATATTAAACTCAAACATAGTAAACAATTTGAGTTTGGTGGATAGATTACTTAAGTTCTTTGGGCTTTTTTTATTTTACAAATGCACTTGAGTTAAAAATTCAGCTGTTTACTAATTGTCAAACTCAGTTTGAAATTTGAGTAAAAACTTTTGTTTCAAGAAATTGGAGCCTGTTCTGATATTGCTGGTACATTTCTAAACTCAGCATAAACCCCTACTCACTCTAATTTATTGTGCCTTGATAAAACATGACATTTGCTTTGCATTTCTCCAGTTGCTTTTGTTTAACCTGCATTTCAGTAAATTATGAGCTCATAATTTTTGCAAAGCATATTCCACTGGTGATGTGCTTTGACAAGAAAACGTTTGTTAAATGCGTTGATGATTTCAAAGGAATCTTGCGAGGATGTCCTTTTTGTTATGTATTGTCATTGTGCTCAGAAAGTAGGATAATGCACATATTCAATTACCAGTTAGAGTGAATGTTTAACATGCAATAATTTATGTAGGGTTTTACAAAATGTTTGAAGCTAGTGTCACCTGAATACACCTTGTTATTACCCAGAACCCAGCACCGTATTACCCAGTGTAGTATTATACAGCAACTTGTTGAGAAGAAAGATGGTTTATCAAGGTGTTTGGAAACAAGCTTGGTGTGTTCTGTTGATGAAGCTGTTGTGTTTTCAATTAACATCTGTAGTGGATTTGATACTTCTGGTTGCATTAACAGTGGATCATTATGAGGTTTCAAATGTTGAAAAAAAATAATATTCATAGCTATAGTAGCATTTTTTGAACTTCTAATAATCCTGTAGATTTCACATGGTGAATTTAGCACTGGGTAAAGTAAACCAGACTGTAGACAGTATAGCGTAAGTAACTTTTATGACAAAGTTTCAAATCTTGAATATGTTATTGTTTACAGCTATGCTAATTGTAGATTTGATAGTGCAACTCATCAGACATGATCAAATTATATTTGAAAGACTCTGACAAGTGAGTGGCGGTGGGGTAGCCTAGTGGTTAAAGCGTTCGCTCGTCCCGCCAAAGACCCGAGCTCGATTCCCCACATGGGTACAATGTGTGAAGCCCATTTCTTGTGTCCCCCGTGATATTGCTGGAATATTGCTAAAAGCGGCATAAAACCAAACTCACTCACTCTGACAAATGAATATTGTGTGTGTTTGACTGCATGCAACAGGAAGAGAGTGGTTGGTAAATGAAGATTATCCATTAGACATTTAATGCATGTCATCTCCAGTGAACAAGTTTATACTAGTCATTGTATCGGCACTTTGTCAGCCATACAGTCACAATCAACACAAAGGGAAATAGAATAACAGAGTATGCATATCATTGTTGGAGTAATCATATCTTCTGTTTTACTCAGTCATAGGAGAATATAGTTTTGTTATCAAACATGTTTATACTTTGTTTCATTATAAGTGACACTTGATTCCATTCCAGTGTTATTAAAGAGTCAGTATTTTTGTTGTTTTATTTATGTGTTGTTTCAAGATTATTTGCTTTAAAGGTGCAAGATCAAGAGTTGGTAGTTACGTATAGATTTCTGTAAAATTATTACATTCTAATTGTTGTTGTGCATTGATGAATAGGGTCATGTTGTGCACCATTTTGTATAAAAATGACTTGAAAATATTTATTGTGTAACAAAATATTCATCAGAAAGTGCAACAAACTTAAAAAAGAACAAAATTGAATTGACAGGGTATATCTAATCTGGTACCTCTATTTGTATTGAATATCATTATAATGCATCTAACCAAGTTTAATAAAAAAAATATTGTTTCTGCTGATGTAGTCTTTTTATGCAAATGACTTTTGTTTAGTTGCATTCAGCAATTTGCTGACTTGGTTCATGCTTGTCATCATAAGTCATTTACGTAGATTGATGCTAATTAATGATATCAGTCACTGCCTCAGTTATTCACAGACCACCCTCATATAGCTGGAAAATTGCTGAGTGCAGAATTAAGCAACTACTATTTATGCATGTATCATGTAACTTATATACCTTCGTAAGCATGGATCCATTTTGAAAAGGTTTGGGTAAAAATGAATCAAAGGGAAAGGTCAGAATTCAGTATTTTGTCAAATATGTTAAATTACGGTCAGTTTCTGAGGCATGAAATGCTTAGTTTACCATGTATCTTTACAAATCATACCCAAAGGTAATCTAGTGAATTAGATAATGAGAATCATTCTGCACCAATTATCTCAAATCAGAATCCATTGCCACGAGTCTCAATATATATGAGCAAAAGAGATTCACTGTAAAGGTATGGATAAAGATAGTAACACCACTTCCCAAAAGGAACAATGATGGTGAATGGGTCCATGGCATTTGTCATAGTGATACATGTATAATGATATGGAAAACTGAGGATAGTTGTAGCTGTGTGTTGAACGAAAGCCAGATCGTCTACGTGGTGATCAAATGCTTTAACAGGTGTCGATACAGATACTGCCAAAGAAGAACGTATACACATTACTTGGCAAATGCAGGTAATCCACAGCACAATGTGTCCAACAGTGGGATGTTTGCACTTTCACCACACTTTTGTTCTGCATACAAATTCTTGATAATGAAACCGAATAAGAAGGAGGACAACCATTTATGTAAATATACACATTTATTTTTTTCTGTAAGAGACTTATACAATTTACTTGTACATTATTGATACAAAACATAGCTGGAAATATACAAGTTCATTTGTCTGCACAAAAGCATTGCCTAGGAAAGCATAACAAGGGCTAATATTAAACGCTGTACAAGGCATCATCATCATTATCATCATCATAATTCTGTATATGGGCACTCTACAAACTTGATAAGCAGCAATACTAGGCTATTATACAATTTGTACATAACTAAGTTTCTGGTTTAAGAACAGAATTACTGGTTCTATGTTACAAGAAAATTAAAAATGGTTCTTACAATCATTGCACAGTTAGGTATATTTAATTCCCTAATAACGTTTGATTTGACTCTCCAGCATATCTGTACAGGAAACAAGAGTAATCAAGTACTCACAAAATTCACAAAACGTCATTCACTTACAATTTTACCAACAGTTCACATATAATTGGCCCTTTCTTTCATTACAAAGGCACATTTGAAGAGATGTTGAACTTAAGCATTGTCAGCGATCCTCAAAACCAGTTACTATGTTTCTCAAGTGTCGCAACCATTTGGACATAGACATGGTGAACCCTTTCAATGCTATATAGACTTCTCATGGAGTCATCTCCTTGAGCATCAGGACACCACTGTTGAAAGGGTTAACCAATGTCTACATTTGTACCTTGAGCTGGTCAGGCAACATGTGCCCTCATACAATGATATAATTGTAAAGATTTGTACACTACAGATACACTGGTCTTATTATTTGTCACACATACATGTTCAGATAGGGTAGTACTCTAACAAATGCCACTTGTCTAATACTGGCATATATACTGATATAATTTGGTTCATTTATTACTCAACTTCCCTTCAATTGTGTATTCTACATGTCTGTCTTCAAAATGAAATTAGCCTCCAAGTAGACTTGTTTCACATATGTGACACACAAGTAAATCCTTGCCTCAATAACTGGACTTTAATGTTTACATGAACATATTATTTACTGAATGAAAACATTTACTTTTCATAACTAAAGTCAAACATTATCTTTGCTCTGTTAATTTAAGGTAATCATTAATTAATGTTGAAACTCTTTTATAAAAGTAACATTTGGCATTACACTTTATAAGCAATAGGTGTAATCCTAAATATTACTTTGCTTTCAACCACTTTCTAAATGGCATTGTGTATTCATTGTCAATAAATGTTTGCAAGTTCTAACATTGGTTTCTGTAACAGATAACATTTGAGTATGGAATGATAGTAACTGGTTTTGAGGGCCTTCATTTTACAGTAACAGTATCCCAGTCTTGTGGGCAGCATAAATATAGTAATACATATATCTGGTTACCACTTCTGAATGGTCCAATAGTTTTGCAATTTCATTGCTGTTGAGTTGTGAAGTGAATATCGGAGAGTAAAGAGTCTAACCAGCAGTTTGTACAGGCTGATCTACAGCAGTGAAGCAGAGTAATGAGGCAACCCAGCACTTGCAGCAGGAGGTGGACATCTGACATCCCATGGACCTTACAAAACTTCAATAGGAAGTTAGGCTGGATTTCACTTTTCAAAACACAAAAATCACCCTTCACCTATGTTGAACTTTGTTTTAGCTTTCAGTAACATAATGTGAAAACACAGCATACAAAGATAAACAATCTCCAGATGCAGACATTTTACTGGCTCTATTGCCTTTCTAATATTCCAGACCACGTATATTAAAGTTAATGTAATGAAGAGACTTCAATACAACTTCAAGGATTACAATAAAACCGATACTGATCCATTTACTTTACTTCAGATTTCTATATTTCACAAACTTAGAAATGATCCGTGCCCATTCAACAAGGCATTTAATATTCAACTCATTCCACTTAAAATATCATCAGGATACAAGGTGATTGTTAATATTATTGACAGGTTTTGATAAGCAGAGATACAATGGGTTTATTTTTAAAAACAGCATCCTGCTACAAGTGCTTTGAATGCCTGTGAATAAAGTCCAGTGAGTTCACAGGTAAAGAGATGCTGAAGAACAAGTGTAGAATAGACAGTCACAAAGTGTCAAGATGAAGAAGGAAAGACAAACAGTAAACAGCTTGAAATACTTGAATACTTTCATAGAAACACTGGCCCTGCCTGATCCTGGAGCCCATGGGAGACATCAGATAGCTGGGATCCAGGAAAACACCAAGAGATAAGCCAGCATGTTTGGCCAAATTCTGTCTCAAACCTACGTCAGTGTTCCACATACTAATCCTGTTTTATGTGAATTAATAGTGACATAGTGGAACTCCTTACAGTGCCAAACCCAACCAACATCATACAGAATACTACATGAGAATGCAGTGTAAGGAGTCGAGTATGAGGAAATCTCTCAATAATTGCACACAGCACAGTAGTCCCTTTTTGCCATACACGACACCAACGTCCAACAGCGTCTGCATAAGGCAACTGGAAGCAAGAAACTGTAGGTCTATTTACAGGATATTATGATGATTGATTCCGAGCTCTGGAACACGGGATACCTGAGAAATATCAAGGTGCATATGGGAGTGCGAGAGGGGTGTCAGAGGAGAGGCACTCCTACGTTAGAAAACCCTGGCTTCATTCAAGAATAATATGGGTGAGTGTTGCCATAAAAAAAAAAATATATATAAATAAAGTAAATTATAAAAAAAATGCATTATACTCAAGCTGGAAACATGCCCAATCTGAAGATCAGGGGTGGAAATAACTTTAAAATTGCTAGTGTACTCGGTACAGTGGCACATGTAAAATCACTTGCCCCGATAAGTTTTCCACTATACCGGCCGTTTTCTCGTTGATTTTTTAAATAAACAACATTATTAACATTTGAAAGTCAACTGGACACCAGTACAGCGTGATATACAAAATTTACGTTGGGCAATGGGTTATTTCCACCCCTGAAGATGATGAGACAGTTAAATTTTGAAGAAACAGCTTCCTTACTTGATCCATCCAGTGCCTCATATACATAAAATTCACCAAAAATTGTCTTGACTGGAACACTCAAAACTATCTGTCAATAATAACATCAATTATCATATCTATCACAGGACTTCCTAAACCATCAAATTGTCTTTATCAACAGCTGGATGGATTATAGGGATACAGAATTGGCGAATCTCAGTCTTGTGGAACTCCTTCAGGGTGTGGCCATCAGCTCAAGAACACCCTCGCACAGGTGGGCCTAGAGAGATCATGTCACCTGATGTTGCCTTTACACCTAATGACCTTGCGAAACAAGTGGACGAAAATCTGCCTATATGGGTTAAGCCACTGCGCTAAGGAAGGATCTGCTCTAGTGGTTGAAATAAACAAAATTCAGGCATGGATTAATGGTCAACATGATTGGATAAACTTAAGCATCAGCACCTTAAAATGGTATCAAGCACCATTTACAACATATTCCAAAATGGTTTTACCATATCTTCTATAACCACTAACAATATCATCATACATATCCATGCAAGAATAAATACTTCGCTTTCCAAACACACAATTTGTCATCAAAACAAATATTTTTGTCCAGACAGATGGGAATGTCTAAATATATCTTTCCTAAAATAAAAGTATATCAAGGGTCCCATTGAGATGTGAATTTCAAGAAGTTACTTTTGTCAAACAACATGAAATTTGTAACTTTTAGTCAAACAACACACAAACTATTTTTGTTTAATACTTTACAACACACAATGACGCAGATGACACCCTTGGGGACATGACAATTAACACTAGGCAGAATATCCAAGGTCTTCTACATGGGGATCAGAGTTATTACTTCAGCAAATATGTCATATCATTAGTTCTTACTTTCAATGTCTTACATATGAATGGTGAAATTTCTAAAAGTTCAAATCCACATACATGCCACAAAAAAATATCCAAATGATTTATCAGCAAAAAATATTTAACTTGAATGTTCAATCCCCACAAAACGGAATGATTAATGCCCAGCCATTAATACCTCATGCATGATAACAACGTAAGTGATATATTCGTGACAACAGTTCATGGAAGGTCATCAAAACAGCTGCTTACCATGAATATTTATTTGCAAAATCTGTTAGCTGTTAGTAGAGAAAGACAGATACGAACCAGCATGTAGAGTTATGACAGAGAAGTGTAGAAGTTAAAGTTCACACAGCTAGGAGAAACAGTAGTTCAGAACAGAGCAGACATGACAAAAACACAACACATACTCTTATTATGCCAAAAAATCCTATCATTCAGCTGTATGTTTCATGCAAAACGACCATTCTTTTTCAGAAGAGGTCCTCCTTGGGAATATAAGCATTTTTCTGTTCATTAAAAATTCCTAAGACAGTTGTAACTATATTTTGAATAAAATATTTACAAAACAAAAAACTTGTTTTTGTCCTGTTCAACCACCCCTGCAAGGCCCTACAGCCAAGAGAAGGTAACTCTAACCTCGTAAATCACTTTCCATGAGATCGCTCACACAATGAAGACGTGTGTGCTGTCCAAGGAGGACTCTCTTCAAAGAATCAGCAACCTCTACAAGTTGGTGCGAATTTTTAGCTTAATATCATAACACTGTTGATCGAGTCTGACGGGTGTTGGGGAGATTGTTTTTATGTTGCTTTGAACCATATGTCAGTTATATCAAAGCATGTCAGCTGGATTTTGGGAGGAAAAGCCTAAAGTGATGCAGGTCCTAGACTTTTAACACTTCTGGCAAACCAACCAACAGGGTATAATGCTGACAAACCAGTGATTATATTCAGGTTGAATCTATGATTCAATACCACCATCATAGGATTCAGTCAGTCCTTCAGGGCAACAATTCTGCGCAGCAAATTGTGGTTCCCTAAACGACTGGGCCTCCCAGTAAAATGTAACTAAAATTTAAAAAATAGTACTATTTTTTAACAGAACCATTCCTGCCTGAAAATCAGATATGCTATTTATACCATGTGTACAGCAAACTGCACCCTGTGTGTAGAAATAAGCCCATTGAGCCACTGTATGTATATACAAAGGAAAAATCCTCACTTTCACACTAATACCCTGTGTCTGAGAAAATCACCTTTATTTCTGGCTGATAAATAATAAGACACTTCACCAAAACACCAGCATAGCCTATGCCAATAATTGATCCAGTCTGAATGTAATACCGTCCAACATGAGGTGAGAATTTCCTGGCAAGGATTTACTGTCCACCCCTCACAACCACACTGCTCCAGGATGCCTGGCATTTATCAGAGCTCAGTGGAAGACATTAGACATATGGAAGCCACTATCAGCTCGCTATACAGGTAGATATCAAAGACATTAGGGAGTAATCAGGATTCCGATTTGACCAAGATTTACTGCCATTAGTGTTATGCCAATTCTTTTTTATAATGATGGTTGTGTTGAACTTCCAGAAAAAATGAGTAAATAAAATTAATAAGGTTATCATTGACAAAATAATAACCTTATCCAATTTCGCCAGTTCAAAGATTCAGATTCGAAATTAAGTACCATGCCCTTCGTTCAGTTGACAGTACTGTCTTGATGTAGCAATAAAAATATAAACAGTATACTTTTCCAGAATCAATTAAAAATATGATAGTGATATGACATACATGACAAATTTTGATTATCACACACATGCAAAGGATGAGTAATGTGCTCTTTATATTTGATATGGTTCAAGTATAATCACTGCCCCTTATGTATTTAATAACTTTGTATACATGAACACAAACATGGGTGATTTAAGTCATACAGCTGTTTCCGTTTCGGCCATTAGTCATCACTCGTAGGGCAACATGATGAAATCATTGGCACATGGGGACGTCATTTAACACAAAACAAGGAAGTAATTCAGTTAACAACTGCGACAAACAAAACTCACAAACAAATACAATTGTGCCATGATGACATAACAAACACTAAAGAACCACTGCAAGTTTGGATGCAAAGGCCAAAACTAAACAACAAAAAGATTCTTTCCGTCTTTCTCGTAGAGAGAATTAGTCAGCATGAATGTTAGTTTTCAGGGATGTAGCACTAGCAGTCAATAAACTGACTTATGTGTGTGCATGGGATTCAAGAACTAACTCCTACCCACTCCTGACCCCAATTCCCCCTCCCCAGTTCATTACTGTGATGCACCTATACTATGGTGCAACATGCATAGTTAAGGTAATCTTATGCGGAACCCAATATACAGATGGCATACAAGGCCTGCCTCTAGGCTGACTACAGAACCACATACCAGGTCACACATACAAACATACACCTCGCATACATGACCTATGTTGTAGCTGTGGGATGGTCAGCTGTTAATAAGCTTAGTATAAGGTAGTAGTTGTCAGCATACGCTTAAGCCTGCCACAGTATTACATCTGGGCCGAGGCTTTGTTCACTAGACAGATCTAGCATGTGTTAAATTACTAGTTTTCATTACTATGTACATCTGTTTGTTCAGTGGCTCAGCAGTGCGCACCTCGTGGTGGGCGTGGTCTGCCAGGAAATGTTGAGACATGGTCTGATGGTCGCTCATGAAACATGCCCCGTGGATAGGTCAACGCCGGCACTCTGCTGTCCGGACATCATGCTCCGTGCGGTGGGAATATCGTCACAGATAGACAGGAAGTGAGGCACTGCCAGGAAACATCACAGTTGGGTGAGATATGACAGACTGGGCCGACATCGACAGGCTATAAGTTGGTGGAAGCATGCTCGGATTCGGACGTGTCTGTCCCATGGTCCCGTTCGTCTATAAAACTCTGTCTATTGGAGCCAGTGTCACTACTTGGATTGCTACTGTTGTTAGATGCGATGGAGTGTCGCCAACCAGGCTGGTCTGGACTATCCTGGAACACAAACACATACAAATCTGTAACACCATGGCAAAACCATCACAATGCTCTTTGGTATCTAAATTTCAAACTTATAACAACAAAAGCAGTACTTGAATTCTCAAACTTTCATACTAAATCTTTCTAAGCAGACCTGTATTTCAGAACTTATATGGATAATTGATAAATGAAAAGTGAAGATCTTAGTGAGAGTACATATGATGTATTAAGAGCGATTTTTACTCTGTTTCTGAATGGTAAATGACAAAGTAAACCAAACAAAAAGGATGGGTGCTGTGAGAGTGTAGCAAACCCTGGGATTGAAACAAAAGTCATCAAATATATCATGTGAGTGAAAGACAGAATGATGTGTGACATCTATCGTAGTACGTTTTGGTGATCATGCAGTTGTCTTTCTAATGCAGAAACAGCCTATGCATGGGTTGAAGGAACTTTGACAAAGCGGAGACTGTGCTGCAATCACTTCAATCATGAAACGTTACCAAAAGACTATCCTGTTTTTCACTCTATGTTAAACCAATCTCACACTATTAAAGTAACGTAAAACACATGCAGTGACATGGATAAAATGACATCATCAAACAGGGATTTAAATTAACAAGTGAAATTGTTATGATGAAAGGCAATGAATGAGGTATTGTCTATTTCTTCTGTAATACAGCAGATTGCACTTTTACAGACAGTAATAACAACAGCTAGAATTTTCATTTGACAATCACAACAGCGAAGAAGCTAATCAGTCGCATGGGAACACGCATCATTACTGTTACGAAAACAAGGATAAACTGCAAATCAAAAGATAGTACACATGTCAAATCAGTTACATCAATAGAAACATGAAAAAAACTGATCAGTAAGAAAACGTGTAAACTGGCAGGTTCCATTCCCGCTGATTGCAGGGCAACAAATTGCTCATGCTAAAAAAACAACCAAGAGGTAGGGTGAGATGAAGAATTTCATTACAGATCTGGGTTCACAGGGATGTTTGTGAGTCTGTTCAAATTCAAATAGAGACAGACAATAATACGGCAGCATCTAAACCCCGGAGAAAGAGAAACCAATGTGTAGAATCAAAGTGTGAAATACACTGTACATCCAAGTATAAATAATTTTGTGCCTTATTTCTGTTAATTCATTGAACACTGGCAGAAGCCAAATGACTGCAAATGTGATTTTAATTGCAAACCAGCCTCTCGGCCTCTGATTTCTAAGAAAAAGAAATCTTAGCACACGAGCTATTGTAAGCATATTTTACTGAATGAGAATTACAATCACTATACAGGGGTGGAAATAACCCATTGCCCAACGTCCGAGTCCAGTGTTTTTTTCTGTCGGGCAAGCAAATTTGTATATCACGCTGTACCGGTGTCCAGTTGACTTTCCAATGTTAATAATGTTGTTTATTTAAAAAATCAACAAGAAAACGTCCGGTATAGTGGAAAACTTATCAGGGCAAGTGATTTTACATGTGCCACTGTACCGGAGTACACTAGCAATTTTAAAGTTATTTCCAACCCTGCTATAGCTCAAACACTGGCCCTGGTGTCAGCCTACTTTGATAATCTCAAAATATTTTTCCTTTCAGAACGTACAGTGTATTTGAAGGTGCTAACGGACAGACAGCTGGACGGATGTACAAACATGCGGTAGAGTAAGATAAGAACGCTACCCTGCTAACTCTTGGAGTTGTTGTATGTGGGTAGTGACCAGCAACTTCCGCTAGTATTCACTGATCCTTGAGATTTGCTAACCATCTGTCAAGGAATGCTACAGTTAGTATGCTTCCCTATGTGGATCAGATACTGTCAGCATCTATACAAGTGAACTTTCATAAGCGTACTTGAATATAAGACATAATACTTTTCAGACCTTAGAACCATTTATCCAAATGGCTTGTATCCAACATTTGAAATTATCCTTACTGGGATTTGTAATCTATTCTGCCTCAAGGTAACCTGAATCGTTTGATGGTGAAACACTTCTGATTATCTCTCTGATGATCTCCACAATGTCATGAATGAGATTTTCTGTCAGTTCACCAACCATTTGAGCCCCTATTCAATGAACATGAATGGAATGGACACCTTCGAGATTTCAAAGATGGATTTTAACATTTATCAACAACTCCAGCTATAAATTTAGCACAGAAAAGAGGATCATATGCACTAGGATCCATAAAATGTAAAATTTCCCACACAAAAATGATTTTTCAATGTCTTCATTCAAGGTAAGCAAAACAAATAATTCCCTGATGTTAACTATGACTTCTGTGATATAGAGAGTGAGTGTATATGACAAAAATACTAAACAACTAATCAGTAGCAGATCACCAGGCAATTTAAGTCATGAATCCTAAGACTTCCAGCTGATATGGATTGTATCTGAAGCATCTCTGAGTGAAATCAAACAAAACCAAAAGTTGATCCAAGATGAATGTAGTGAAGAGACCACACTGAGTCTGTGTAACACAGAATGGTGGTAGTTGTGAAATCCCACTGGCTCGACTTCCCTCTCAAATACATACAGAGGAAGGTTTAGCACTATAATGACCTGTTAACACTCTTAGTCCCACAGAACATATGAATATGCTCAAATGTCCACAAAACATATATTTCAACATATCAACAACATATTGAAGCCTGGCTCATCAATCCTAAATAAATTAATCTGGTAATAGTTTCAGAGCATTATTTATCCAGCTAAGACCATAAAGAATTATGAAAAGGGTATTACTTTCACAAAATTGATTTCAATGACCATGATATGAAATGACTTGAAGGCTTTAGACATGGAACAAAAACAAAATTGAGGAAAACACAAGTGCCACAGTGCTGAAAACACCTGAAGCTAGCAATACACTCCTAACACAGTGACAACGCCACAAGTGTTTCCAACACACAGGTCATTACAGTGCTATTGCTAGATAGACTATGCACCACAATCAGGTCCAAGACACAGATGACACTGATGTTTATATATGGAGCACCTACAGGTCAAACTAATATTGTTTTTACAGATAACATACCAAACAATGTCAGATTCACCATTTAATTTTACAAAATCATATTTGCAGTTTAGATTTTGATGATTTCAATTTTACCATATTTAAATGAGACTCCACAGAATTATGCATAAATGAAACAAAAATATGTATACAAAAAATGTAGAAAGATGGTCATTTAAACTAGTAAGCAACAAGTTCCATTTTACTTTAATCAATATGATTTTTTAAAAGATTTTGAATTCAATTTCACCTTGAGCATTATTTAAGCATTGTTATTTGCATCTAACCTACCATCCAAATCCACAGAACAAGAAATCAAGTTGTTCCAGTTGAGGGCTCTCTACACTCAAGTCTGAAGGTAGTTTAATAATGAAACTCTTTAGTTTTTTTTCGTTTCAAAAAGATCGCTAAATTAAATGATACATATTGTGGTTCATAATCTAAACACATACTACAAAGATGTAAGAAGACATGTCTATTTGTATATTACATGAACATACCTCAAATACATCTTTCTCCAGACTGTTTGGGTCCTGGGGGGCCCCGGGCATTGTCCTGACCCCTCCTGGTCGACCACCCTCACTCCGGCTACCAGCACTTCCTGTGAGGAGAGAACAGGACTAAAGTTTCAGATGTTCATCAGAGGGCATCAAGAATATGTCAACCTGATTGATTAAGGTACGGATTGCTCTGATGCTGTTAGTCAGAGAGGTTACTTCAAAAGATCTTCATACCAAGTAGAGAAATGGCAATACCGAGTAGCTCGGCAATTTGTATGACTTGGGTGTATATTTTCACCATGCACACAGCAGGGGTTCAAAATTTGTTTAAAAAGCCACTTAAAGAAAGTAACTTGTCCTGACTAATTTTCCACTTGCCCTGATTTTATGACATAATCATGATGATATAATTATGAAAGAATAAATCAACATGGTATTTAATGTTAATGTTTACTGGACTATTTCTTGAAAAGTGATAAATAGCAAAGAAAGATAACTCTACTTTATTATCATTGCAAAATTTAGTAGCTACATTTTGATATGAAATTAAATCCTAGTCTATTTGCAGTTTGAAATCATAAGTGGAAATTATCTAGTAGCCCACGGACAAGTAAGATACCATTATTATAATGAAAACTGACTTGTCCCGGGCGTCGGGCGATGGGATTTTTGAACCCCTGCACAGTCAGTTTCAAACTCTAGTTGCGAGAGCAAAATGCGAACCAGTCAACTGGTTATCTTAACCAGAGAGAATAGAGTAAAACAAGAAGACATGGTCATCAATATCCCCGCCACAGTGTTCTGTTCCTATTTGCTTCCTCTTTTGTAACTCCACCACAACATTCATGTCCTGAAAACACATACCACATTTGGTTTCCCTGTCTATAATGATTACTGAGGAAATCTGTTCCCATTGGGGATACTGTGCACTAAGTCAAGAAATGCATCACAAGGTCCACAACTCTGAAATGAATTGTAATGGTTTTCAAAACTCCATCACAGGCTTTTGTGTCCTGAAAACACATACCAAATTTGGTTTCCCTTTTTGTAACATTTTTGAGATGGAAATCATGACATACATCCTAGCCCTCCCAGACAGGCGATCAACTACTCACCATTGAAGTGTGAGCTGACCGGCCTGGCACCTCTCATCTGGGCTTCATGTATAGACTTGAGTTGTGGCTGGAACATGCTCTTCACCCTCTGCATCTCTGACTCTCCACTACTGCTGCCAACGTTGCTCTGACTCCCTCCAGACTGAAACACACAACTAGCTAATGAAACACTAACACTCAGATTATCACCTACGGTACAGGTCCAACATTTCATCTGATAACTTGACACACTCAAATATTACTGGGGTAAACTATATTGAGAAAATACAGTTTCTTGGCTAAAATAAGTGACAAAATAATTCAACATAACAGTACAGAGCAAAGACAAGATACATAAATGAACATGTTTTTGACAATAATTTGCGATATTTCGGTGTGGGTTATAACACCATTATAAAACATGATGCAGAGAGTATGACTGAGAGGCATATATACAAGGAAAAGGGAGTGGTAGCACAGGTGATAGGAATGGGGAGTGGGTACAATAGACAGAAGAGGCCTGTTCACAATGCCAAGACATTTTCATGGCACAAGATGCTGGTGTATAAGAAAGGCATAAGCAGCCTCTGTCCTACCTTGGGGAGGTCAATGAGGACCTGCATGCCCTGGTCGGGGCCCATGTGAGCGATGTGGCTGAAGTTGATGGGGGATGAGATAACTCGAGATCGGCGGTCTCCACCTCTGTAAGGACATGAACAATACAATGACACTTTCCATCCACTCAACAGTTGCCACAATGCTTGACTGCACACTTCCACATTATTCATGTTCACTGGAGGATGTATAGTTAATGTTATATCTGTACATTTCTCAATATCAACTCATTCTCACACTTTTAATATGTTAGTATGTTAAAACAATTTTACATTAATTCTCGTTATTCTGACTGGTATGCCCAAACCAAAAAATATGAAAGAATCAAAATGAAGCAACTGGTAAGCTTACTGTTCTCAAGAGTAAAAATACTTAAGAAAATATCAACTACGCTTTAAACTCTAGACACTTCTACATGTTTGAATTTCTACAAAAGAAAATCTAGAAATGGTTCTAAACATAAAAGAAAGAAATTAAATACAAAATCCAGGAATATAATCAAAAGGAATAAATATCACTTCGTCAAACAATGAGTGCTACACAGCACGCATGGATCAAACTGTGTGAAACACGGTAAGCAAAGCCAAATTTGCAAAATATCAGGGGTAAGCCTTATGTGTTACATGATTAAGAGGCTCGCAGATAATAAGACTGCATCTTCATCATAACCAAAATAGCATCAGGACCATCAGGAAGCTAAAGAAACCAAACATAACCAATCAATAAAACACTCCATGATAACCACACGTGTTGTAGATTGTAATCACAGTTGACTCGTAAACACGTATATTCATGCATAATTACCCTTGCAGCATGCACTAAACGTCTCACCCAAACACCCACGTACTTGAAAACAATAGATAATGATATTCATTTCTTCTTTTACTGTTATAGTACCATGCAATAGGATGAATTTTAAATATCACACATATATATTATATAAATACATCCATGCCTCGTGCACAGGTACACATATGTTTACATCAATCGACCCATGCAACTCCAACTGCCGTACACCCTGAAAGTGATTACACTTCAACACAATATGTTGAAGTCAGAAGTGTACAACTAAAACACCCATCATCCCACTTGAAAACATTCTCCAGATGTCACTGATCGAACTTGCAAGAACATCTAGAAAACCACCAAACCCCACAGTATCAGAAATAGCATAATATTTGCAACTACTTCTTTGAGACACCACTTCATAAGTAGTCTATTCTACAAGAATCATAATTAGAATAGCCTTTTTATAAAGCAGTTACCCAGTGTATAAAGCTGACTGAGGGCTAATAGGTTTACCAATGGTAATGGTGTAACGTTGAACAACTTACCTGCAGTTGTCTCATTCCTAACCTTATGTTTGTTTATATCGATCCTGGTTCTACCACTCCTCTAATGTAGCAATACATAATCCTCATTCTCCTAAAGACATATCAGCATTTGCATCCCTATAACTTCCATAGACCAGGTGTTGCTCATTTTTAAAAGGTTTCTTAAATACTTCTGTATTGAATCAGTTAATCTTTCATTCGAAAAAATAAAATGATTTATTATGTAACAAAAACATTTATCAATTCTCATTATTTTCCTCCTTGCTATTACTGTATTTAATATTTTGCATTAACTTTAAAAAAATATCCATTATATAGCAATGGAACTTGTCAGTGAACACAGAAATCTGACAATAAGTTAAGGTACAGAGTGCAGTGTACTGACACCAGTGTCGGACAACAGCAGGAGACAAAGAGGGCAAGGCAGGTGCAGCACTACACAAGCATGCAAATGTAGCATCACTAATGGCGGACAGACAGTACATAGTAGATCTTACTGTGATGGAGGTGGAGGAGGGACCAATACTTGGTCCGGCCCCATGTGGGCCACATGGCTGAACGTTATTGGCCCAGAGATATCACGATTGCGTCTTTCTGACCTGAGCAAGCAACGATCACGCAAATAGGGAAGCCATTAATCGTTGGAATTTGTGATGAAATTCATTTAATTAGATGAAAACAAACCCTTTGATGAGATGATTATTTTGGGATGGAAATTAGAACAAAATGTGGAAGTTAGGACATGAAGATGAAGATTGTTTGTGCTGACAAAAATCTAAACTATGTATGTGAATCCCTGTTTCACCAGACATTAACCACCAAAGTTAGTTCACAGTCACTTTTCAAAATGCAATTAATATGTACATTAATTTGGGGTGCATTATCTATACAAGACTTAAACACCAGATTATAAATGAATCAACACAAGGTACTGAATGATGTTGGCAACATTTAATAAATTAGTTCACATTCGCATGGATAAACAGCCAAAGAATGATTCTGAAGCAAGAAGGATGAATTTTCCATGCCAGAGATTGACAATGAGTTGGTCTACACGACTACATCTAGACTAGGACTCAGTAAAGTGACATTCATTGTTGACAGGATGTAGAAGGTACTGAGAAACATGCACAAATGTCTGCCTACCCTTTACTGCTTCGGTGGTCTTCCTCACGGCTCTTGAAGGAGAAGCGACGCTTGTTCCTGCCACCACTCTTCATCTTGGCTAACTCCGCCACCAAAAGGCGGTCTTCCTCTATTTAAACAGTAAACAGTTTAAAACTTCACTGTAGGTAGTTAGACTAGTCTAAAAGTCTAACAGCTATATCAATGTTAGGACAAGGAAATTACTACATGAGTGAGTGAGTATGGTTTTATGCTGCTTTTAGCAATATTCCAGCAATATCACAGCAGGGAACACCCGAAATGGGCTTCACACATTGTACCCATGTGGGGAATTGAACCCGGGTCTTCAGAATGATGAGTGGACGCTTTAACCACTCGGCAACCCCACTGCTCCGAAATTACTACATGAGATTTTCAGACCAAACAGATTGTAACTGAAACTGGTTTATTTGACTATTGCTGACTGAGATGACTGAGTATACCATGGGTGTAGAACAAGAACCTGTATACTGTGATTGCCATGGAGTTATACTATACACCAAATGGGTGGTTATGACAATATGATATTCGTTGTGGTTCCACCAAGGTGTTATGCCTGACCACCCAATTATCTGGCTGCCTCTTACAACCAGCTAAGGTACCTATTCTGTCCCAATATCACACTTAGAACTGTTGCACTCAGTGAAATGGAATCATAGTGGAATCACTGTTAGTGGTCTGTATCCTGTGGGACAAACATGAACATTATGAAACAGATCATGCCCAAAAATGTGTCAGTGAGACTTATGATCACAGTCAGTGATGAACCTACCTGCATAGATGTCTTTGAGGTAAAATATGTGTTGAGAATCTACACCACTGAAAATGCAGAGTGATCCATCCTTGCACAGGGGCTTGCACTGAAAGTCACAGTAACGGCACATCAGCATGACTTAGTGTTTATATAGCAGTCTCTTTGGATTTGAGCAACAGTACCTCAGCCTTAAGCCTTCCACAATAAGCAAACAAACAATTAACTCATCCCGGCAAAACAAAGGAACATAACCCTTTAGTGGGCATGAGTTGGCTTTAACAGCTGACTTTGTGTGCCTGTGATTAGATGCCTGACTCTGAGGCTGTGGGTTCAAATCCGGGATGGGACTCAACCCAACAAAAGTACTAGAATCTGTACTTTACTAAGAAAGTGTAATCCCAAATGTAACTTATGTTGTAGGCCACATCAGCTCATTCAACACTTTCAGGCTTCCATAACATGTAATTTTACAGTGGATATAGAGATGAAACAGTTATCAAATGTCACTCAATACATAATTCAGAGCATAATATAATTGAGGCTGTGATGGCATAGTTTCTGTCACAGTTATCAAATATTGAAGCATTCAGATCACATAAGTTATCACATCGTGTCGAGGGAAATACAGGGTTTTATCAGTCCCTCGTAAGGTTGCATTCCCCTCGCCTTACTCGGGACTGATAAAACCCCGAATTTCCCTCGACACGATGTGATAACGCATTTATCTAGCCAAATATTTTTACTAAATCAAAAGAAAACAATACGCATCGAATCGACTTGTTTTTATTTATATGAGATGCCATGTTGACAACAGCTGATCGACTGACCTCAATGCAGCGCACGTTACTAAAGGCTTGGCAATGCACGCTTTTCCCGCTTCGCGTGGTCACCGAGGCGTGACGGGATAATATGACTTTTGTACTCCCTGCTCGCAGAACGTGACGGGTGTACATGGTATTTTATCAGAGTCACATGAACCAATCAAAACTCGACATTCTTACATGAGGCTGGATAATGTTCTTTATCAAACTACAATGACGACTGAGACTGGGAAAATAACAACTAAGTTAATGATCAAGAAACCACTTCTTGCTTACCTTTTTTGACATTGATAGTTTGTACCCATTCTGAGGTGATAACATCATAGATAAAGACTGAATTCTCCGTGTAGCAGGCAAGGTATGGCTCCGAGTAACCTGGAACAGAGGTAATGGATGTGAGTGAGAGAGTGAGTGAGAGTGAGTGTATTAGGGTTGGGACAGAGCCAAATTCTGTACCTGGGTACCCCACCCCCTATTACCCTACCCTACCCTACCTTGATACCCGTTATGCTAATTCCTGACATCAAATTTGTAAGAAATGGCAATATATTCTTCAGCTCGGAGGCTAAAATTTCGGGTTTATCAATATCTTAACCATGTATTATCTTCAAAACAGGTGGCTGTAAACTATGTCTAAATCTTCAAAGACAATACGGGGCAGTTGGGGAGCCTTGAGGTTAAAGCGTTCGCTCGTCACACCGAAAACATGGGTACAACGTGTGAAGCCCATTTCTGGTGTCCCCCGCCATGATATTGCTGGAATATTGCTAAAGGCGGTGTAAAACTAAACTAACTCACTCACTCAAAGATAATACAACCTTTTAATGACTGGTGTCTACGAAATAACCCAGCTGTCGACATAACTGAAGACATTGGTTGCAATGTTTCACGAGATATCGCGTTTACACAAGTTTGAAAAGTGGTCAGCGTCGTGGTGACCTTGAAAATAAGGTCAACATCACCCAAATCGACTGGCATCCATGTAATCTCCCAATGTAGGCTGTCACAAAATTTGAAGACATTGGGTACAACAGAGCATGAGATATTGTGTTAACAAGAGTACTGGTCAAAGTGTCATAGTGACCTTGAAAATAAGGTCAAGGTCACCCAAAACGACTGGTGTCTGCATAATCCCCCAATGAGGGCTGCCACCAAATTTGAGGACATTGGGTACAACAGTTCATGAGATGTCGTGTTAACAAGTACGTCCGCTGCTGAATACTTAGTACCCCGTTCCGAGCTGCAGAGGGGGAAAAAAAATATATCCACCATATCCATAAAACCAAATGTATTGCAATCAGGAATAAGGTACACCAACCATTTATCTGAAGTATCCTGTGGACAGTGTTCTACTTACTGACGGCATCAGGCTGGGCAGGCCACAACAGCTCCTGGGCTCGACTCCTAGCACCTGTGCTGTCCACGTTACACTCCCAGAACTGTAGACAAACACAACACATGGGTCATGCATGCTTAAGTTTCAACATATTCTCGTTCTTCTAATTCAGAAATATCAAATGAATACTGATTTGTCAGTTACAAAGTGATATTAAATCAATATTACAACTGTAGTACTGTCCATTTTGGCTTAAAATATATATGGATCTTAGGCAATCATCCTTAAGTGTTTGTTCATCAAAATGAAGCTGATGCGAGATAACCGTCAGACAGGAATGTCAGCTACTTCTACTTACTGTTGAAGACAAGAAGGTATTCCTTTGAGGGGAGCTCAATGGCCATTAATGACTTGACTGGGTTGCGCACCAGAAACTCCAAACTGTGGTCTTCAGTGTTAACTAGTGCTGTAGATGGGGGAAAAAAAAGTCTATGTAGTTCATGTAGCACACATAAAATATACCCCCAAAACAATACGTCCTTCCACTCGTTTCTCCATTTGAGAAAGTTATCCTTCCATTGAAAACATACTTTACTACAACCCCTTTATTCTTAAACAAGTAAGTACAACCACTGTATTGACATACTTTCCAGCGGTTAGAGCGTCCTCACGGAGAGCAGAAGGTCGCGGGTTCGATCCCCGACCGCGTCATACCAAAAGACGTTAAAATATGGTACTCGGTCCCTGTCTGGCGCTCGGCATTAATGGGTACAACAAGGACTGGTCGTCTCGGACTCAGTATAATGTGTCTGAGTGGGGTATTCATGCTTCACTGCGGCATGGTATCTTAGTGGGCTAGCAGTAGCACTATAAAACCAGCTTCACTCTGGCCTAGTATAAGCAGCCGCACATACACCTACACACGCATGCACGTCATCATATGAGCGAAATATTCTCAAGCACGACGTTAAACCCAATTTCACCTCACCTCACCTCATACTTTCCAGCAACACTTAAATGAAAACATATAGTCCTGTATTGCTATACATAGCTAAGGGACCTTTGTTATTGACATATTCAACAGATTGCAACCCCTGTATCATATACATCATACTTCAACCCATGTGTTGTTATATACATCCAACTGCAATGCCAGTATGATATACATCATACTTCAACCCATGTGTTGCAATTTACATCCAACTGCAACCACTGTATGATATACATCATACTTCAACTCATGTGTTGTAATTTACATCCAACTTCAACCCATGTGTTGCAATTTACATCCAACGCCAGTATGATATACATCATACTTCACACCAACCATGTATGTTGCAATTTACATCCAAATGTGTTGCAATTTACATCCCACTGTATGATATACATCATACTTCAACCTCATGTGTTGTAATTATATACATCCAACTGTAACTGTATGATATACATCATACTTCAACCTGTAGTATGATATACATCAATCCAACTGTAACGCCAGTATGATACTCCAACTCCAACATCCAACTGCAAATTTACATCCAACTTCAACACCAGTATCATATACATCATACTTCAACCCATGTGTTGTAATTTACATCCAACTGCAACCACTGTATGATATACATCATACTTCAACCTATGTTGTAATTTACATCCAACTTCATCCAACGCCAGTATGATATACATCATACTTCAACCCATGTGTTATATACATCCAACTGTAAACGCCAGTATGATATACATCCAACTTACATCCAACTGCAACCAGTATGATATACATCATACTTCAACCTATGTGTTGCAATTTACATCCAATTTACATCCAACTTCAACGCCAGTATGATATACATCATCATCATGTGTTGTAATTTACTTCAACCAGTATGTTGTAATTTACATCCAACTTCAAAGCCAGTATGATATACATCATACTACTCTGACCTATATGTGTGTTGTTGTATGATATACACATCCAACCTATGTGTTGTAATTTACAACCAACGCCAGTATGATATACATCATACTACGACCTATATGTGTGTTGTTATATACATCCAACTGCAACCTCTGTATGATATACATCATACTTCAACCTATGTGTTGTAATTTACATCCAACTTCAACGCCAGTATGATATACATCATACTTCAACCCATGTTGTAATTTACATCCAACTTCAAAGCCAGTATGATATACATCATACTACGACCTATATGTGTGTTTATATACATCCAACTGCAACCTCTGTATGATATACATCATACTTCAATTCATGTGTTGTAATTTACATCCAACTGCAACCCCTGGTATGATATGCATCACACTACCTACCGTGTACTGTAATTCACATCTGCAACCCTATATGATATGCAGCAAATTACATAATACTACACACATGTTGTGATGCACATCTCACTGCAACCTCTGTATGACTAGCATCACACTACAACCCATGTGCTATAACACAGATGTTACAGTTGACCTTGTACGACAACAGTACAAAAGTACCATAACCCCCATCTTGGATAATAATTCATCTCTCTGTCTGTCTTTCAACCTATCTATCTAAACGAATGAAGACATGAATGTTAATTGACACTAGAACTTGTAGAGGAATGTTACATTCAACTAGTAAGTAATCAATGGAAGAATTGCAACAGCACAGCTACTTACTCATGGGTGCTCCATCTCCTTGAACAGTGTATATTGCAAATGTTGATGGGTAGCCCACACACAGTCTCTCACTCATCATATCTACAAACTCCACATGGCCTGGCACTTGAATGTCTTTTAGCTTCCTGTATCTCACCCGTGTTTTGTTCACTTCATACACCTGAATAGTTCGCTTAATAGCTACACACAAGCAGGTCACTGCACCCTGCCGAATAAGTCCTGTACAAAATGTTTGGCAGCCCTTTGTTTCGACAATTTTAACAGAATCACAGTCTTTGCCCTCCAGAGCTGACACATGGAGGATCTTTATATTCTTCTGTCGGCCTGAAACATCAAAGTACATGAAATTAATACAAATCATCTCATATTAGGCAAAACAACACACTAAGCAAATACACTTCACAAGGTTAATATTGGTTTTCTAAACCTTTGCTAGAGGGTCCCCTTTCAAAATGATGTTTGTTTGTTTCCAGCTATATGGTGGCAGTCTGTAAATAATCGAGCCTTGACCAAACAATCCAGGGGTAGGTTTACTTATACCGGTACCACTAAACATATTTTCTGCGCATGATTGGAAGGGAGCTTAGGGTTAGGATTAGGATTAGGGTTAGGGATGGGATATGGGTCAGGGTCAGGGCCAGCAGGGTCAAGGTTAGGGCTAGGGTTAGGGTTGGACTCCTATATACAACAACCAGAAGTAGCTAAAACAATGGTACCGGTGTAAGTAAAGTGGTCCTAATCCAGTGATTAACATCATAATCATCAACCTATGCAATTGGGATATGATGGCATGTGTTAACCAAGTCAGCAAGCCTGACCACCTGATACCATTAATGAACCTGATCTGAACACTTCCCATGGTACAGTTTTGATTGATTAGTAAGCAAATCTAAAACGGAAGAATGGCATCTTAAATTGATTCTTAATGCAAGACAGTTTACAAGCATGTAGCAAGCCAATTAGTTTGTGTAAGCCCGATAGGTTGCAAAGCTATTTATTTAGATAGTATTGAGGACTTGCCCAACCTTTTGGCAACAATCATGTGTAAGCCCGGGCTTCTTTTTATATAATGGTAGCTATGCCCCTGGTTTAGGTGAGATGACTGAATTGCACCAACAATGTGAAAGCTTGTGTTTACCACTGCTTTGAAATTATATGAGAGCATCTCAGACAAATCAAGGATCATAATCTGGTATTTGAATAAAGGTAGTAAAACTTGGATGCATACTTACCACCAATATAGATGACAGAATGTTCTTGAGGTACAATCTCCAATTGGAAAATTTTCTTGTCACCCCGATCACCCACTCGTGTCAAATCTGACGTACAAAATATGGAATTAGGGAAACATACACTCCATCCAGCAGATTCTGTCTATTGTTATGAAAGATAACAAAGATGCAGGAGCAGCCTTACCTCCAACACTGACAATTAAATTTTAACCTAGCTGTACATTAAAACCAAAGCAATGCTGCCACTTTCTTCATTCTGATAGTCATATGGCATTTTTACAACATAAATTTGTGCAGAAGTGGAATTGTGGGAAGAGTTGTTATAACATGATCCAGACCGAAAGAAGCATGAGTTTGTACGCTAGTGGATTGGGGATCGTGTTGATTAAACACGATACCAGGGTGACTGAACTGGAATTGATAATAAAGAATGCATGACTAAGTGCTGTTGTCTTTGCATAAACTAAAATATGAAATTACCATAATATACACGATCAGCCCTCTCAAAAGGTGCAAACAGATACTCTAGTAAACATTTACGCAGGCACCAACACTTGTTTGTGTTTTTATTGCTATTGAAATTATAGTTGCAATATCTGAAAGCAGTATACACTACCATTTCTAAAATCAGCTTCATTTGTACTTACGGTCTCTCTTCAGATCTAAAATATACAATCCCTCTTCTGTTCCAAGGACTATCCGGGAGGAATCTGGTGGAAGATAAGTATGGAGATCAGAAAATGGAAACATGTTTGGTTACAAGCCGAAAATGATCAGAAAATGGAAACCAGAGATGAGAAAATGGAAACATGTTTGGTTACAAGCAGATGTTAAGGCAGTAACTTACATACATTTAATCAACATAGAAATTACACAAAGACTGTGCAGAGAGGAAGAGACTGTTGGAAGATTTTATGTGGGCTTCCAGTGGAGCAGATTTTGCTCTCTTAAACATAAGCTGTGCTTATAGTTGGCCTTAATCTGAAGGTCAGTGTGGGGCACAAATCTCAATGTAAAAGCAGGCCCCTAACTAAATGTTCATGACAGCACTCATCTCAGATGTCAATTTCAACACCCATCTTAAATACAATGTGGAAACCCATGTATCTCTATCCTGATGACAATGTTAGTGATAATACTGCAGCGAGGATTTTGTGAGCCTTGTACACCTAGTATACCAGCACCATCCACCCCATTACAGTTCAAAAAAAGACTTTCGATCAACTCACCCAAGATGGTTGAAGACATAGTGTTTTTTACAAGGGACAAGGAATTATCACATACTTCTTGTGCTTGATAAACCTGAAAGAAATGCATAAAAACATCAGTGTTGTGCATACTTCACACTGCTCTGTTAAATCAAGACCAGTAGCAACTGATGATAGTTGCTGACATTTACTATTTTGGTGAACACCAATAAGCAGAAGTATAGTGCAAACACATCAATGATCACAACTGGGGAAATCTGGAATTCAAACAAACGATAAGCTGATCCTGGCATGGTCAAGGGAGGGAAGTTATCGACAGTGACCACCTGTCAGCAATTTTGTCCCATGTGTGATGCATGAATCAATTTTGCATGTCAAACATTTTTAGTTTTAACATTACTTTTACAAACTAGCTATATATATTGTTGGTTTGGAATACAAACAGCTAATTATAAAGGATGTTCTTATTCAATGCAGTAGTTCAACATCATGAATCCTGTTTAAGTTGAGAGTAGGATCTTATGAAGGCAGTTTCTCACCGCTGTTCTTGGCAGTTTATCGTTGTTTTTGAGAATGCCATGTAGTTGTGTAATGACAGTGAGCCACCTCTCCTTTTCACGTTCATCCTCTGCCAATAGTAACACTATGTGCTCTGAAAACGGAGAGTTCAACTCTGTTGTTGTTACCTGAAAAAAACCAAAGCTTCATGTGAAAAATTGTGGTAGTACAAGATGCCATTCGCTGATACATTCCAGTCAAAGGGTTATGACCCCTCTCCTTTCAAGAAGTTTTGTGGGTATTCCATAGTAATTAACAAAAGGAGACGTTTTTCCATATCCACAAATTTTCCAGTCTGATTTTCAAAATAGAGCACACTTAGTGTGATGTAATTCATAGTTTGCAGACAATTATCGATTCAACACTGCTACATATCTGCTATCCTTCAGTCTTGGTTCATTATCCTTATATTTTAATATTTACACTCATTTCAGTTTTCTTTTAAATATTCCATGTTTTATCCAAGCTCCACAACTTTTCTAGGTAGATAAAATTCATGATCCCTAAATTGAAGTTGGGAAAGTAAATGAAACATTATGTTAAAACCTTACCCTAAATATTTGTGGTATATCCTTTTTGTTGGCATGAATGACATCACTGGGACTCACAGAAGATGCGGAGAACCTCTCATCTCTGAAAAGAAGTATGTAACATCAGCATTAAAGAAACAACACTGTGACTATAAGCAGCAAAAACTTGTTTCTGTTATGGTAAGCAGCAAGAAAATAGTGGGGAACAAAGAAAATCATTATCATCAGTATCAGGCAAATTAAACCAATGTCATGGTCATCAATATCCCCCGCCACAGAGTTCTGTTCCTATTTGGTTCCTGCTTTTTAACTCCACCACGACATTCATGTCCTGAAAACACATACCACATTTGGTTTCCTTATCTATAACGGTTACTAAGAAAATCTGTTCCCATTGGGGATAACATGCAGTGTCATGCACTAATCCAAGAAACACATGACAAGGGCCATAACCCAGTAACAAATTGTAACACGGTTTCCGTTTTTGAAACTCCATCAAGGCATTCATGTCCTGAAAACAAATACCAAATTTGGTTTACCTATCTGTAATGGTTTTTGAGAAAATCTGTCCCCATCATCTCGAACTGACGGATGGACGGAAGGATGAATCTCAAACCTCCATCCCCAGTGTGGCAGGGGATAATAAAGGGATTCAACAATGATTTCAGGGGAACAACAACATCATCACTTTTCCCTAACAAATCTTGAACAGCAAAGGGCAGCATCACTGACACGTGCAAGTAAGTAATTAAATGTCATTTTATACCAGAGCCAGCAATATTCCAGATACATTATGGTGAAATGTAAATAATTGTCTTGAGTCAGTCAAGAATATAAGTGAAGAATAATGAATGATCAGTTATGCTGTATTTGTTGCTGAATGTCAACAATATTCCATGTACGTAATGGTAGCAGGAAAATAATCATGTCTGGCCCAGTTCATCCAGTGATTGATAAAATGACCAATGATCAACAACACAGGGGTACGATGACAATTCACATGGTCTCCCCACACAATCTCAGGACCAACGTAGGTTGCTGGAGAATGCCTGCAGGGTGTGATGAGTTTTGCCTACCTCATGTCTAGCACTTCCTGAACCACCTCATTTGGGATGTTCTTGTCAGACAGCATGTCATAGAAGAACAACTTGAAATCACAGACCACCATGTACTGGCGTTGCCACCCTTTCTTAATCCCACCAAGACGGGGTACCTGAAACAAACAATCACATTTGTTACAGATGATGCATTCAAACATAGCACCAAATAGGTTCAACCAGAAATAACCCATTTGCAAATGCTTTGCACACCTATATTTCACATCTTCGTCTAATCCTAAATGTAAAATTACAAGCTTTGTTTGACTTTGTATATTTGGGTGAGCTCATAGTAACGCTAACAATGTGGAAACATGAGCACCACATGTCACCTGAGCATGCTTTCACTTTGTTGCATGTCTTGTCGCCATATGGCTGAAACAATGCCGATATGACGTTACATTTTAACTCACTGACTTTGCTGCATGTATCATGTAATGAGGTGAGGTGAAATTGGGTTTAACGTCATGCTTGAGAATATTTCACTCATATGACGACGTGCATGCGTGTGTGTGTGTATGTCCGGCTGCTTGTACTAGCCCAGACTTGAAGCTGGTTTTATAGTGCTAGCCCACTGAGATACCATGCTGCAGTGAAGCATGAATACCCCACTCAGACACATTATACTGACTCTGAGACGACCAGTCCTTGTTGTACCCATTAATGCCGAGCGCCAGGCAGGGACCAACAAGTTCCATATTTTAACATCTTTTGGTATGACGCTATTGGGGATCGAACCCGCGACCTTCCACTCTCCGGGCGGACGCTCTAACCACTACACCACGGAGGTGTCTATCATGTAATGAGAATAAAATGAAAAGACTGAACTTACTCTTACGAAACCTTCAAAAGCTGTGCCTAGACCTCGTTCAACGTTCACTCCTGCTGGGCGTTTCGCTGCAAGGGTAATGTTGAAATTGATTCTCTCAACCAATACCGAACTTTCAACCATTTTACAGTTGAAGGAAGAAAAATATTTGAAATCACTTTATGTGCATACTGCAGCATATTATTTGCAGAATTACATTTTTCTGAAAAACAAAGATATCACAGAAGATTTAGGAATTCTTTGCCTCAAAACTTACTCATGAGGTCCGAGGGAACAGGACACACATCTGGCGCTTTCTTCATACAGTGGACATGGCATGAATAGCCACACACTGGAACACAAAAACACGGGCATACAGAAACAAATACAATGATTTTGATTCACCAACCACATTAATATCAGATCGTTTAATTTAAATTACATATAGCTCTGTGTTAAGATCTGAGGACAGCCCTGTAAAAAGACACATAAGATGAATGCTGAGCTCCATTTGACTGCATAATCAACATGTAGGATGCACAGGTTCTTGAGCTGCAACCTTTCTAAATTGATAAACATTGAACTGGCATTTTATTTTGGCTTGGAAATTTTAATTTGAACAAATGCATACTCAAAGATGGACCCAAATATTCCTTCAGAAGATGCCAAAGCGCTTACAGATGCCAAACTTCAGGAAAGGTTGCTAAGGTTTGTTTTCAAAAGATAAAGAATCAGATATGCTGGTATGGATGCTTGTCTCACTTGCACCTACAATTCAGAAGCCTAGACACTGATTTGCTGAACAAGCACCTGTCACTAATTCCTCACGTCCTCAGATCTTCAGGCAGTTAGGAAGAGATTGCTGTTTCCCTCAGAAGATATAACAAGTCTCCTCCAGTATTGTTTTTGTTCTTGGAATAGATTGAGATTTATTAGTGCTGTCTTTCTATGAGATTACTATAAATGTGTGTGGTTTTGTCTGAAAGCAAAACTTACCCTCGCATGTAATGCCCTGGCGCTGCAGGCCAACCAACAAGGAGGTGCAATGATTGCACTTGTAGGGGGTACTGAAAGACTTGACGATAAACTTATGAGCTTTAGGGTGAGGCAGGGGCTTGCCCTGGGCGGGGCTGGTGTTGTTGGAGTAGGGCTTCTGAAACACTGGCTCGTACGGTTGCGAGAACGGCACAGCATCACGTGTGAGGGATGACTCCGGGGTGTCTCCTGCCTGCAGGTCTGACCGGGAATCTGTCCGCGAGTCTGTCCGTGATGCCGTGTCCTCACTGTCATCACCTTGTTCACTGTCTATTGAAATCTGCTGCAATCAACAAGAGGTCAGGTTAATTATCTGTGCTCAAAATGGCTTCCTGTTTCCAAACAACAATCCAAACATAATGCAGTGTGTACTCTTTATTGATGTCTAAAATCTGTTATTTGTACCAGAAATATTAGAAACCACTAGAAACTAATGAAAAGTGTAACAGATAATTTGAAATTACCACTATCTCCTTCAACTTGCTAAAATGAACCATGTTATAGATTGTCAACAACTAAATAATTAAAAGTATTCTTTCAGTATATCCCTGAAGTTGTGTACTTACATCCATGTTGAATGTGAATCGGTCGTTGAAATACTTAAATAATCCCGGTTCTCTACTATCATCCCCTGAAAAGAAATGCAACACAAAAGCTATTACTTCAGAAATGACAATTAAGCATACCTTTAAGTGTTTGAATGTTAGAAGACATTGTAAACCAAAAGTCACTGTGTTCTTTAATCTGATTGGTTGAAAAACGTGATCAAATGGTATTCGATTCCCAAAAATTCGCTGCGTATTAATACATACAAACATCGCTCACACCATTGTATTGTTACGTCGTCAGCTGTGATGACGTCATTAAAATCATATTGTGACGTAAAGTCCGAATGACGTCACAAATGAGCAGTTCCAAATGCCACCATGGGAGACAGCCGAAACGGCCGGCTGATGACATTTCACTGCTGTACCCGTACTCGATGTCAATGAGTGCAGACAGAAAAACGTGTGTGGACCTTTTGGTTTACTTTTGTGTTTACAATCTCGATAAACATCATGTGTTGGCCTATTTCCGGGTGTTATTGAGTATTTGAAGCACGGAAATATTTCATTTGAAACCTCCCGCTGACGCCGTCGGTTCCAAATGAATTCCCGTGCTTCAAATACTCAATAACACCCGGAAATTGGCCAACATATGATGTTTATCTCCTAAGTGTAACATTGATGTGTTTCAGTACAGAGAATCACAAAGGATAAGTATACATAAGGATTTACACCTCCTGTTAATAATACTGGGTTGTTCTGGGTTAAGACTGCATCCAAAAAACTGTCAGCACTAACACACACTACACTATCATGTGGCCTGACAACAACTGTGAACAAGCCAACAGCCTGTCAGGTTATCTGAGATGGTCTACTGTAGATCTCCAATCCCATAAGCACAAGGCTGAGCAATATTCCAGCCATATGACAGTGGCCAGAGCTATATGGCAGCGGTTTGTAAATAATCGAGCCTGGACCAGACATTCCAGTGATCAATATCATGAGCATTGGTCTTCTCAATTGAGATATGATGACGTAAATAATAGACTACAGAGGAGTAACTAATGACTGATGTTATGAACAATGTCCAATTGTCAGGGTAGGATGGAGCACATTCAGCCAAGCCTGACTACCTCATCCACTGACTACCTCATTACTGGGATCCTATTCCAACCCGTAATTCCTACTCCAGCCATCTGTGTCCCCACCAATGTAATGGGCACCTAGATAGCTTCTGTAAGCTGTACTTACATTCTTTAGGTTGGCTCTCCTGCTGTCTCTGTACTTGCTCCCTGAGCTCCTCGTTCTCCCTCTTCAGCTCAGCAATCACGCTGTCCTTTTCATGGATCTTGCTGGCAACGGACAAATGTGCAACATTAGCTTTCCTTTTGTTTCACTGACTAACTAAAACACCAGCTATTTACTATTCAGTAATATTGGGCGATAATAGTTGAAAATGATGAGGTGATATGTCCTTGCTGACATTCTAAAATGCTGAGAGTAATAGAAGATAAGATATTAAGTTGATTTTGTTTTTCTTTTTAACTAAAACCTTGTAGTGGTAGTTCATTTACTACAAGTTCTAGATAATGAACAGCTGACAGACATTTTGAAATTACTATAATTTGTTGCGTCTTTGTTTGACAATCAAGAGTAGAGAATCAGTGACACACTGTCACATAAAGACAAATCATACTGTAGTATAGCAATGGTAATACCCATGTGTGTGCTGGCAGACCAAGTAAAATACAATTAATTTTGAGACATAGCGATGCTGCACTGTAACAAACACAGAATTCCACCCCTATACTCCTTTTCAGCTAACTTCAGGAGTAAACACTCCTAAGGTAAAAAGAAAATGATCTGGAGCGCTGGAGAAAGAACAAAGCTTACTTCTCATTGGACACATTCTCTTCCTTGATGCGAGTGAGCTGTTCACTGATCATGGTCTTGGCTTGGATCTCACTCTGAAGACTAGACTGGAGGTTGAGAAGCTCCATCTTGTCCAGACGTTGAGACCTTCGGTTCCTCCATCGCTGGCCTCGGGACTGAAAAAAAAAAAAAAAAATGTTGTTAATGCAATGTTCAAAATAAAGGTCTTGGAATCCCACAACATCAGTACAATCGAGGCACCATTCAATCTCTAACTTTAAACAATGACAAGGACCCTTGGAATTTCATGCTGAATGAAATACAATGGACTGAGTTTTGTTTGTTTGTTTGTTTGTTCTTTGCCTAATGCAGCACTCAGGATATCCCACCACAGTGGACATGAGAAAATAACTCACCGGGTCATCACCGGACACTCCCATCACCTTCAGGTTCTCCAGTTCTTCTGTCATCTTAGTGGCAAGTGCTTGAAGGTAGCCTCGAGCATCCTTCTCATCACTCACCCTGCACGAAACAAAGCCACAATTCACATACGTTTCTACTTAACAACCAATATCTACATAAAAAATAATAAATTCCAACACACTTACTGACATATTTCCAGTTATTTCGTTTTACACAAGAAATTTCTCATGTAAAAATCTAGTGATTTCTCAAAGATATTTTGAAAGGATTATTAATTTGTAACTATTAAAACAAATCGAGCAGCAGCACCTTGAAAAGATATCATTCAATGAATCAGTGCTGAGTTCAGAGAGTGAGCTACTGTCTTGCAGACTGCTCTCGCCTCTGCATCACCACAAGCAATGTTGTTTTAGTATGCTGCAGTCAGCAATATTTGAGGCAGGTCCACATGGTATTGTGAGGTGCTTACCACTTGATGATCTCTGAGATCTGTGCCTCCCACTGAGCTACGGACTCCCGTTTGTCATAGATATCCCGAATCTCCTCCTCGAGCTGAGAGCGTTCCCGTATGTGGTTGTCGATGCGATTTTGATACTGAAAGTAAGAGTATGTGTTGATCATTTGTGTGTGGAAAGGCACAAAGAATCCCAACCTCCATGAACGTCTCCCTTCACCTCAGTAAACACTCTCTTGTAATCAATCAAAATGGGGATGAAGTCACAAATGGGGCTACAATTGAGCCATTAACTTCCAGCCAAGTACAGCAAGGGTGGTAATGCTACTTTTACAGTCAGTTAACTCTCTTGCCATGGGAAGATGAGGAATTTCATGCCTTCACATTAATAAAGAGCAAGGAGAATGTCAATATAATGGGACATCTCAACCAACAAGCCTTACCGAGTGCACCTCATCCTTGAGTCTATCCACCTCATTGCTGAAGGCCTTACTCCTCTGTTCATGCATCTCAGCCCGCTGCTTGGACTTCTGGAGCTGCTCCTTCAAGTCATCCACAAGCTGCTGAGAAACCTTCGACTTCAGGTTTGTCATCTCATGTTGGAGCTCACTTCGCTTAGCTTCTGATTCCTTCAAATGGTACTTAATGTCACTCAGTTCCGTAGAATATTTAGAGGAAACTCTTGCTAGTTCTTCTTCCCGTTCTACATCCTTTCTTTCTACTTCAGCTTTCAACCTGAAACAAGACGATTCCATCATCATAACAGACATGATAGACACGATGCTGGCCTGGGTGTGTTTGCTAGATGTTGGCTGACTTAATGGTACAAATATCTCAGTGTGAATTACTTGGACCACAGACACTAGAAAAATCCTTACTTCATAAAAATGTCAGAACCTAAAAAACCTAAGATTTGAGAGAAGAGACTGAAGAAGGATTTGTCACAAGTAGGTATAGTTGACATCCTCGTCGGACCCTTCAGTGTTATCTGTCTGTTAAGAGTCTGAAAGGAAAACTCTTACCTAGTGATCTCCTGTGTTAGTTCTAGATTTGTGGAACTGCTTGAGCGACCCATCTGTCTGCGCTTGATGTTTTCCAGCTCTTGCTCCAAATCTGAAGCATACTGCTCTGCTCTTTCTCGTAACCGTTTTTCCTTGCCAGCTTCAGATTTGGCCTCATCGATTTGGTTTTGGGCCTAAATAAACCAAAGTGTAAGGGTTTTCTGAAACTGTTCACAGTACACACAAAGCCACTGATAACCTAACAAGCTCAAGATCACTGCTTTGTTTTGATTTTGAATACTTCAAGGAAGCTGAAGCTGTCATATCGCTAAATGTAGCAATAAAAAAACAAAGAAAAATGCCTCCATACCTCACTGATGAGTTTCTCCAGCCTCCTTTTCTCCAGTCGGATACCATCCAACTTCGACTTGTAATCTTCTGTCTCCTCCTCCTTGTTCCGTGATTCCCGTGTCAACTCCTTCACCTTTGACTGAGCCTTCAACAATCTACAACAACATTCACATGTAAGATTTTTTTCACAAATAAAACCATTCTTGCTTACTCAACGTTCAGCAATAAGTAAAAACTGCTTCAGGTTCATGTCATATAAAAGCAACAGGCAAGTCAGGTTAGTTCTGTCCATCTGTGCAGCAATCTGTGAAGAATCTATGCCATTATGGTTTCAATTTAATATTGTTTACTTCATCGACAAATACCTGGCACATACTCATTAAGACAGTTCATGTCTCTGTGTCAGTATTTTTGGTTGTCCCCTTCATAACATATGGAGGCACAGTCGTGAACTGTACGACAGGCACCACAGACATGAGGAAATCATGAAATTCACAAACAGTTATCACTTGCCCTGGGTCAAGTTAACCTCCCCTCAAATGACAACCCTTGGCAACCCCTGTTATTTGTGTTAATTTTGTCATATACAAATTACAGATACCATTTTCAAACCCATGCAAATTTTTCACAACAAACATCAGGCCAACATTATTAGCTTCCCGCAATATAAACTTAATTTTAGGTCTGTAATCATCCTTAACAAGATATCGTTTCTGTCAACACAGGTTCTCCAAAGTAATATTCATCAACATTTCCTGCATCGACTTCATGACTATGACACAATTCAGATCTCTCAAAGCAGCAGAAAACAACTTTAGTTTAAATATTCACCCTATTAAACGCTTGGATATCTGTTTCAATTGTGAACTGGTTTGAAATCATTGAAAATCACTCACGAATCATTGGTACTTGTATACTGTTCCATGGCTAGTTTCTGTTTCGACAAGGCATCCTTGAGTTCTCTCCCTTGGGTCTTGTACTTGTCTCGCCAATCTTGCAATTCCTTACATAACAAGCATAAAATAATCAATTGTATGTAGCAATCAAATGTCTAATCTCTTCCACTTTCATTGGAAAATACTGACTTCAATATCTATGTAATATACACTGTATGAACTACTATTACTAGGCACCATCAGTTTGCAGTAATTGTTCATGTACAAACCTTTTCGAATGCAGCTTTTTCTTCATCCAGTAATTTTAATTTCCGTTCAACCTCTTGCTTTGAATCAAACATTTTCTTCAGATCTTGTTCCAAAAGGCTGACCTCCCCTTGTGATTCTGAAAAAGTATTTCCATATTAATCCAGACGTTTCTACCAACATTTCATTTGCACACACACAATCATAATCCTTTTAGAACTGGGTAATCATAAGGTATGATTTGTTTCTTTGCTGTCCAATGACATAATGAGCAATACTGCAGCTCTATGACAACAGCCAGTTAAAAATCCAGTATTTGAAACTGCAAGCAATGATCCACACCTTCAGAGTGTATTGACTCAGTGTACCTTCAACCAAGTCAGACCTGTGAAGGTCCGGGTTAGAATATTGATCTTCAGTAACCCATGCTTGTCGTCAGAGGCGACTAACAGGATCGGGTGGTTTGGCTCGCTGACTTGGTTGACACATATCATCGGTTCCCAATTGCACAGATCGATGCTCATGCTGTTGATCACTGGATTGCCTGGTCCAGACTCGATTATTTACAGACCGCCGCCATATAGCTGGAATATTGCTGAGTGCGACATAAAACAAAACTCACTCACTCACTCAAACAAGTCAAGGAGCCTAACCACCCAATCCATTTGTCCACTTCTTACGACCAGGAGAGTTTGCTGGGAATCAATCTTTGCCTGCTTTCCAACAGGTTTAGAACCTATGATCAAAACACATACTGAATGAAGATGTCATACCTGCTACAACCCTGTGTAAAACTGCCACCTCTTCCTTCAGTTGCCGCACTTCATCGTCCGACCCTGAAGCTGCTGCTGCTGCCACACCATTGATGTCTTGCGTTGTCCGCAACTCATTTATTGTTGCAGTTGTTTCTGTGTGAAGAAAACAGTTTAAGTCTGTGATGGAACGACATATTTGTGCTCTGATGTACAAAATTCCGTAAATTTCTTTACAAAACTCTACAACTCATAATCAGTAACAGTGAATGCAAAATTAACAAATATCAGAATTCAGATTTTGCAACACGATTCCTCAGTCCATAAGCTACTGTAACATTTTGTTTTGATTATATAAGTGGAAGTTGAAGGAAAGGGGTCTTAAGACTTTTCACATTTTACTCCAGCCTTACCATGGCTGGTGAAAAATCGGTCTCCATTTGCCTTATCGATGTCAAAGTGGGGCATCAACCTAAGTAAATGGCATAGGCAACCCAAACACCACTCCACTGTCATAGCTGAGATATTGATAAGTTTTTGAAAGGCATTTAGAAGTTGGATGAACATGAATACATGACACATTTATGGATATCAACTTCTTTTTTATTCTTTACACGTTTCAGAGCTAATTCTTGCTCCTTCATCAGGTGAATGAAAGGTCATGTAAAGAATAGATTATCATTATTATTATTATTATTATTATTATAGGACACATATCCAGGCAACAAGTGCATGCTCAAGGCGCTGGTATATTTTCCCTCGATCATTGGATGTCAATCTCAACAGCACAACATATTATCAATCTCAACTCCCTGGGGAGTATACAACTCTTGCAGCCACAAGGCGCACCGAGTTATTGTGGCTTTCTCATCCTAATGAGGTACCCATTCACAGCTTGGTGGACTGGGACACATAGTCACAGTACTTTGTCCAAGTTCACTGCACGTATTCATGTGGCCACCATCTGGTCATATACCAAGTGATTCGTGGGTTCTTTTAAGTGCACAGGGTTGTGTACTGTACAATAAGAAGTTGATATCCATAAAATGTGTCATGTATTCGAGAAATTGCTATACCTTGCTTTTTGAGGTGTGCGAATGACTTACCATGAATTTTTATCATTAAGTCTTTGTTTTCTCTTTCTAGGTTCCTGATCTTTCTCTCATATGTTTCCACTAAAGCTCCATCCACAGTGTCACCATTCGCTCCCTCAGGATCAAACAGACAGGCCACATCAGACAGTTTACTGCAGAGAATGACACAACATTAATACACAATCCTTGCAGTTGTTCAATTCTTTTAATAACCATCACACTTTCAAATCTAAACTGGTATTTCATACTGAATGGGACATCATCATATGTTGGCTAAAATGTATGTCAACAAACTTTTAAGACATACAATTCCTTTACTGAGTGTTATGAACAGATACATTAGTGTAAAAGCAGCATGTAGAAGACAGGTACTTACGACTTGCGTGTAAATGAGAAACCAATAAAAGGCAGGTGGTGTCCTTTAAATGCTGTGTAAGTTGCTGGTGGGACTGTGTCCTGCAAACAAAGGCATACAGGTACTGGCATGATCTTCTCTCAGCCTACACGTAACTGGGGTTGGCTATTTATGTTCCTCATGAGAGATCATTAATAGTTAACTCTTTCCATTCAAAGGACAAGATATCACGTCTGAAGGGTCACAGCCCTTCAATACGAGTCTATTTTTAGCAACATGACACTTACATACAAGGGACGTGATATCACATCTCCATGGTTTCAACCGTTGACATGGACCATTCATGGCTAATATAACATCAAAATCCATATGAACTGATTATTTTTCAAAACATCTTTATTCTCTTTCATTCTTGACTGTATGGTTTCACCTATTTTGTGTTATGGGTCTGAGATTTGGGGTACTAACTATTGTAGCATCATTGAGTCTGTTCAGGTAAAATTTTGTAAATATTTCTTGAAAGTTGGTAAATCTACCTGTAATAACATGGCTCTTGGTGATTGTGGCAGACTTCCTCTACAAATTACTTATATGACTAAAGTAATTAAATACTGGTGTCACCTATTGTATATGCCTTTTGATAGACTGCCAAAACATTGTTATATTATGCTCAAGTCCTTAGATGATGTTGGCCGCACTACTTGGGCAACTTGTGTCAAAAATATTTTATTTAAGTATGGTTTTGGCTATGCAGGGATCAGTCAGGATGTTGGCAATGTTGATTATTTCATATCCTTGTTTAAGCAGAGACTTTCGGATAATTTTAAACAATGTTGGTCCACTTCAATTCAAAATTCTAATAAGTGTTTTTATTACTCCCAATTTAAGACATTTTTAAATGTGGAAAGGTATTTAAATTCTGATATTCCTTTACATCTCAGATCTGCACTCTCTAAATTTAGATGTGGTAATTTTAATTTAGCTGTTGAAACTGAAAGATACAATAAAGTTAATTAAAATGAGATTATGTCTATTTTGTAAATTGGATGACAAAAATGTTATTGAAGATGAATTCCATGTACTCCTTAAGTGTGAATGTTTTTCTGATTTAAGGTTAAGATATATTCAGAAATATTTTACTGATTTTGATCCAAATGCCAATTTTATTAACATTATGAAAACACATAATGATTGTATCATAAGAGATGTCAGTATTTTTCTGTATCATGTACTTCAGCGCATTAGAAATGTTCTTCTTACACAGCATGTGCACTAAACTATCTATATCATATGCAAATGACTGTATGATGGGCCTGTGGCCTTTTACTGAATAAACTTGTCTGTCTGTCTGTCTGTCTGTCTGTCATTCTAAGATGCTTCGGTGAAAGATCCAAGGTGCCAACAATACTTTATCAGACGATAATGTGCACTTTTTGCATTACGTCACAATGTATTGGCGTCACTGCGCCATTCTAGTCTGCCCCCTCGTAATTGAACAATTTTGCATTACGTCACAATGTATGCCACGACATGATGCATGTCAGTTGTCATAGACTCGTACAGCCTCCTACTGTAAACTACTCCGTTGCATCCCGTTTCTTGGTTTGCAGTTGCTTCACGCAGCTAACGTCACTGGTGGAAACATTACGTTTATGCTTTCCGATAGTTAAAATGTCTCAATTCGACTCACAAGTTTTCAGTGACACGGTAACGTTCGCAATGTTTACATTCCCACAATACAATTGTGGAATGTGAGTGAGTGAGTGAGTATAGTTATACGCCGCACTCAGCAATATTCCAGCTATATGGCGGTGGTCTGTAAATAATCGAGTCTTGACCAGACAATCCAGTGATCAACTTCATGAGCATCGATCTGCGCAATTGGGACCCCATGACATGTGTCAACCAAGTCAGCGAGCCTGACACCCAATCCCGTTAGTTGCCTCTTATGACAAGCATAGTCGCCTTTTGTGGCAAGCATGGGTTGCTGAAGACCTATTCTACCCCGGATATTCACGGGTCAATCGTGGAATGACGCTTGACTACTCAGCTTCATCTGGATGTACGGATCTAAACTTACGCTGGTAGTAGAAATGCGACATTCATATTGCCCCATATGGTTTACGTTAATCACAGATGTACTTAAAATAATTTCGAGAAGATATTTAATCCTAACGCAAACCGTCATCAAACTGTTTATCATTTGTTTTTCTGGTAACGTTCGTCTTAACATAGGGGGCCAGACACATCAATAGAACAGCGCGCCAGTTAGCCCTGTGCAAGGATTCTTAAATTAGGTCACCGACACCATAGTTTGTTTTCTGCCTTAGATTAATCGTAATTATCTTTAGAAGTAGTAAATTTGGTATCTTAGAAAAGAAATACAATTCTTCGCCCTGAACTATTATATATCGTAAAAAGTACTCAGACGCAAGCGTCCTCGTGCTTTAACTATAATAGTTCAGGGCGAAAGTGTGCTTTATTACACTATACATGGCAGTAGAACGAACTGTATTTCTTAATTAAAATATTTCAGACCAAAAGAGAAACAATTAGGTCGGCTTTAGCACAGAAACATTGAAAATGCAGTTGTTTTTTTCTAAAAGGGAAACATAATTGAACTAATACAGCATTGTGATAATTTCTTTCAATCCAGGGACTACACCGCGTTGGAAGAACAACCACAATTTAGTGGTTTTATGTCATCACTTAGAATTATAGAGTCATGACATCCAAATCCAAAGAACAATGAAATGAGTGTTTCCTGTGGTAACAACTATACGAACAGTCAACAGTCAAAGAACATTGCTAATAATCAAAACGTCAAACTCAATGCCCACTTCCTGGACAACTTTTACTTGGAGTAATCTGTTTTGTGTGGTCACCTAATGTCAAGGTCATATAGCACATGGTTTTGACCAGGGGAGATAATCAAGTAAATCCTAAAAAATACACTGTCACAAAGTACACAATTGCATTTGAAGGACAAGGATACATAGCTAGAAAACTGTGAAATAAGTTTAATATGAGTAGACAAGTTATCACGTCCCCCTGTATGGAAACATTGTAAAAATTCTGACGTAATATCTCATCCATCGAATTCAAGGGCTACAGCTAGAAACATCTGGTCATATGCAAGGGTTGTAGATGCCTGGTATATGTGCAGCTGTGAAAATTTTACATTGTATAGAAAGAGTTAACTGAATACCAATCAAAAACTGAATACCAATCAATCATCAATAATATCAGAGAAGTAACTTTGAACAAATATTCACAAAGCTTCAAAAGAAAACAACATATATCACATCAATGGTGAGGGGAAACACATTTCATCACAGGTACATTTGTGGGCATCAAATATTTAACAAAAGCAGTAGCTGTCCTGCAGCAAGTCACAATAAGACGTATGTTTAGGTATATTAAAACTTCCCTTCAAAACAACATCCGATGCATGATATTATTGATGAAACAATTTTCAAATAACAAATCGTTAATATTTCTTCTAATTGACAATAACACTCATTATCAATCATTTTTGCAAGTCCTACATTTAACAGTAGGAATCGGAGACAACCACATGGCATTAGCTGTGTCCTGCAATGAATCTTCATTTTAATCATTGCTCTCAAGTGAATGGATGAGTGAGGACAAACATACTCCAGATCACATATTTACAAAGGGTGCTATTCCACACAGCGATCTTGCACTACACAGATAATAACTCCCCTCTTTAACAGTAACTCCATACGATAGATCTTAGGTCACTTCACAAAAAGGACATAGAACCTTACTTGTTGACTCTTACAATGGTCGTCAATTAATTTTACGCCACTTTTAGCAATATTCCAGCAATATTACGACAGGGGACACCAGAAATTGGCTTCACACATTGTACCGATGTGGGGAATCAAACCCGGGTCTTTCGCATGATGAGCGAACGCTTTAACCATTAGGCTACCCACCGCCCCTCTTACAACTGTAAGCACAGCATACACATATGTTGGCATACAGGAAGTGGGTATAACTTGTATCTTATACATGTAGACATCAAAACCCTGTTGCACCAGACAAAAATCATGTTGCACTAATAACAGTACATGTCAATTCAAGATGTATGTAAATTAAGAAAATATAATCTCAGCTCTTATATCAGGGTCATGGCGATTATTTAGTTATCCGTAACTGTGACATGACCATCACTAACCGGATTATATCAACAATACAAGTGTCTTGTGTTCGGTAATAAATTTCAAATAATCATATTTTTGTCATTCGCTTCGACTTCATTTGAATTTTCGGCAGTGTAATGCCCTTCGCAATTTGAGTATCATGCTTAAGTGGTGGACCTGTGAAGATCCAGGTTAAAATTGGTCTTCAGTAACCTATACTTGTTGTAAGAGGCAACTAACGGGATCGGGTGGTCCGGCTTGCTGACACATGTCATTGTATCCCAAATGCGTCGATCGATGCTCATGCTGTTGATCACTGGATTGTCTGATCCAGACTTGATTATTTACAGACTGCCACCATATAGCTATATATTGCTGCGTGCGGCAGTAAACTAAACTCACTCACTTGCTAAAACGTAAGGTGACAGTATGAGCATCCATCAATGTACTAGTGTGTATTTCCTAACTGGTCCTTTGGATTGGAACAATCAGAAATAATAATAGGCTTGCCATTTTATTAATTCCAATGATACACACTAAGCATACAAGGAACTATCAAGTTAAATCCATGTTATACATATGATCTCGAGTGAACTTACTGTATGTCGAAAGTCTGTGTCGTCTACATCAAAATTGGAAGTGTCAGTCGGACTCGAGACTTCAGGCTTGTAAGGGGCCTCCACTGTAAACAGACAATGGATCATATTAGACATACACATGAGAAAGGTTGTAACATAGAATTACAAGATACAGAATACATACTCCTTAGAGAGCAAGAAGGTGGATATCTGAATGTAACAGACAAGTTTTCATACAACATATAAATTGGACATTAAAATGAAGCATGTTCAGCTTGAAATTGATAAAATACAAGCAGGTACTTCAATATGCTGTTCTGTTACATCACAGAGTTTAAGTATTTCAGTATACTTATCAAATGTTGAGCAGTATAATATGAAGAAAAATAGGAATACTGTCTGGTCTCGGTATTGAAAAACATCTATTATCAAACCGACAATAATTACCATGTATCAATGACAAATTCACAAGCTTTGCATTGGGGGTTGATTAGTGGTGTTCCAATTATTGAAATAATCGAAAATTAGTCGCAGTGACCAAATGACCGAGAAAGAGAGAACATTTTCTCATAATCGAACACAAACGATTTTGGAACTACTGTTTTAATGTTTGAAACACTTGACAATGGAACATATCTTAGAACTTGTCATGTCCTGAAATATGTTTCATTCTTAGAGAACTCACTTCACTTACTGAAAAGTCATGACTGAATCTTTCTTTAAGACTCTAGGAAGTTTATGTTCATGATATATTAGTCATCACTTTAAAGTAGCAAGTTGCATCATTTTAAACTGGATTTGAAATTTGCAAATGTAATTTGCGCAATTTCTAAACAAAACAAGCATTGTCACTAAGGTGACAATCCCCCGCCGCAAAATATCAAATCAAACTTAAAAAGTAATTAAAGTTTAAGATGAAGTTAAATGTCAACAAAAACATGACCAGTCAACCTCTCTTGATATCTTCTCTTTAGTTGTTCAAACACACAAATATTTTCAAGACTGACTTTGAGCTTGACATGAATGTCATAGTGTATGAAATATGCAAAAATGGTACTAAAGAAATTGCTTATTGAAAAACATTTAAGGGAAGTCTTGAAAGTCTGTGAAGAAAATCCAGTGAATTCAGGTTAACTTGCCGAAATCTTCAAAGTGTCTTTGTGACCTTGAAAATTAAGTGAAGGTCACCAAAATCGACTGGGCCTTGCACTTTCCCTAGATGAAGCTTGTTGTCAAATATGAAGAAAGTCCAGAGAATGGTTCTTGAGATATCTCGCTGACCATCTTAACATGCAGGTTAATATACTGAAATCTTCAAAGTGTCGCTGTGACCTTGAAAGTTAAGTGAAGGTCACCAAAATCGACTGGGCCCTGCGCCTTCCATAGATAAAGCTTCATCTTGAATATGAAGAAAATCTAGACAGCGGTTTTTGAGATATCTCGCTGACAAGAGTAAATGTTAAGTCCTCTTGTGTCCTTGAAATGAAGGTCAATGTCAACAAACCTGACTGGGACCTTTCTTATACTGTGATGAACCTAGGTACCGAATATGAAAAGAATCTAGTCAACGGTTCTTAAGATATTCTAATTCATACTTGCGCACGGACGGACAGAGCCTAATACTATATCCCCCACTTCGCGCTAAACGCGTGGCGGGGCATAACAAAAAAACATCAGAGAACCAAGTTATACTTATCTGCAATAACAATCTGAATAAGAAAATCTAAAACATTACGCAAACTAAGTGGGTTTTTTTGATAATTGCTCATTGGTAATGAACCAATTATCAATTGTGAGATTTCAACCAATTCCCAACACTAGTGTTGATCAAACACTGGATCTAAACAAATGGTCGAGCTAGCTACTTACTGTCTCTAATGTTGTTCCAGTCAATGCCACTAAACCAGTTATGATTTCTGAAGTCATCCAGTCCACCTTTGCCGAACCTCTTGTCTGCACTGCAGATGAGCTGCCTGATTAGATCCTTGGCTTCTTGAGACACATCGTCTACATCTGTTGGGAACTCAAACCTCGTCTGATGGGAACAAAAGGATTATATCATAAACCTGTAGCACTGGTGGCACCAACAGTTGGTCTCACAAGCTTAGTGGTGTCCTAATTATTGAAATAATCGAAGATTAGTCGCAGTGACCAAAGTACTATCACCTACAGAAGTACAGAATACCCTGGTTGTAATGCCACCGTTAGTCCAGGAGAAAATATGGCATTATATCCAGGTAGGACAGTTGGAGGCGGTATGCAATCAACAAGGTGATTGAGCTGAAGTATTTGTACCTCTGAGTCTCAAAGAAAGTAAAGAACACCCAATTGTTTCACATCACTTTGGCTAATCTGGCATGGCATGATAAACTATTTTAATATGAAACAATCAAACATTCATGTACGTAGAATATTTACTGCCAATAATCAAATCATTAATCAAGGTTTGCTTCCCAAACCATGTCTTTTTATTGTAAATGAATCTGTACTTACTTGATGGTTCATAATTTTGCCGTATGTCTCCACCAGGGATTCAGCATAGAATGGCGTCTCTCCATACAACATCTCGTACATACACACACCGAGAGACCACCAGTCACACTCGGGGCCATATTTACCATGACCATCCTCCATAGCCTGGAAACAAATATACATTCTAAAACACTCCTACCATACAGATAATCCCACAATTTCCAAACCAAGCGAATGAATGTATCTGGTTTTGATAGTCCACATAAATATTGCTACAAAAATACTCAATACTGGAAAAGGTAAGCCAGTGTTTGACAGAAAGAGCAATGATCCACACACTATGGGTACTATGACCACTGAGTCATGTCTCACTGCGACCGCCCAATACTCATTTTTAAAAAAAGAAAAACGTTCTTAAACATACTCATTGAATTTCCAAGGGGATATTATTAAAGCATATATAATTCCACATCACTAATCTATGATCCAACACATTCAATATGTATTGTTTAAACACAGATGATATACCTTTGGTATTTTTGCAATACCATCAGTTCAAAAAATTTCTAACTTGATACAAACTATTAAGCAGGAAGTAAACACAAATGTCAGGAATTTGTTCATTACTTAGTAGTTGTAATAAAATGAAGGGAGGCAACTCTGCCTTCTACTAAATACAAAAACATGGTGTACTGCTTCAACAAAGATCAAGAACTCATAATACCTGTTTCACATGTGAACACAAATTATTGGTATAATAGTATTGCAGTATTTAACTGCTTATAGATAGTGTATAGCTATGTTTAATAATTGAGAAACAAAGTTAAGAGGTTCTTGAGGGTGTTATACCAAACATTAAAGGTCTAGATTTGGGACAAGGATTCAAATATGCAGAAGACCACCAGGGTCGTGAACATGCCCTCAATAGAAAGAAAAACATGTGACTTACTCTTAGGATTTCCGGTGAGATGTAGTCTGGTGTCCCCACGGCTACCGAGGACTGCACTGTTCCGTCAGCCATTAGTTTGAGACATGACCCAAAATCAGCTAGCACTATATGACCACTTCTATCAAGAAGCACATTGTCGGGTTTGATGTCTCTATGTACATAACGAAGTTTATGAAGAGAGTCTATAGCAAGGACCATTTCAGCAATATAAAACTTGGACATGTCTTCTGGAAGGCGGTCCTCAAACTTGCTGAGCAATGTGAGCAGATCTCCACCACAGTAGTAGTCCATAACAAGATACTGCAAGGGAGAAGCAGGCAGTGAAACAGCGGAATCAGTCTTTCTGGCAAGTCATTGTTTGTTTGTTTCAGAAAATTCCAGTTATATCATGGTAGTCGGTTAATAACAGTGTCTGGGCCAGGCAAGTCAGTGGTTACAAGAGTAAAAAATGATCTGTAATGTCAGGGTAACAATCAGCCGGGATACACAGCATTTTATTTCCGCTAGAAACACTGACTGTAATCAACCGATTGTCATTTTACTCAAACCTCACAGAAATTAAAACAACGGTGGGTATATCATTAAATTGTGATAATTAAGGCAACCGATTCCGTTAATGGACTACTATTTTACCTCTGCTGGGGCCATGAATGCATGCTAAATTTGGGGGGAAAGCCCGAAAGAATACAGGTCACAGACCTTCAGAGCTCTGGAGGACACACAAGCACTAATATACCTGTGACAAACTAGAAACAAAATCACTGACTGTTTGGGATCAAAACGAATGGTCCAAGATGATGGAACACCTGAGCTCAGTTCTACACAGTAACTGTGACATTTTTCAATGACAATGTTACTCATGACCAAGCCAAAAATGAAGCAGCTGTTCAAGGAATGTGAAAAATGGTTAAAAATCTATCTCAATACACCTGGTCAAAAATATTTTGCTTTTCATGAATTTTAACATGTTTGACAAACCAACTAGTCCTTGCACCTTTTCATTAATGTAATTGACTTGTGTCTGGGCTGAAATATTGTTATTCTTGAGCACAAATTCAAAACCCAGTATTGTTGTAAATATTTCTCCACCATCTGCAATCAGACTAACTATATCAAAAGGAGGACAAATGTTACGAATACACAATGCCACAGTCCCTGACTTTGTGTGCTGGCTATTAGGTGCCTGGCTCTAAGAGTGTGGGTGGAATCCCGCATGAGACTCAACCCAACGAAAGCATAGAAACTGTACTTCACCTAGGAAGTGTAATACCAAATACAACATGCTACGCACAAGAAGAAGATCAAGCTGGTAAGGCTCATATACTTGTCAACTCCTCAGCCTCACAACCCTATGTTCACCCACCCATCTTACCAGATAATGTTCATCCTGGAAGGCATAGTGCAGGTTTGTTATCCATCGACGATCTCCATACACTAACACATCCCGCTCTTCTTTGAAACAAGCAGTCTGAAACACAGAAACATAAAATTACACACTGCACTGTTCTTATACACAACATAAAATCTAAGACATCTTTGTAACACAATACATTTCTTTCTTCTAAAATTTATTGTTTTTTTTATTTATTTATTTTTTTTTTCATGCTCAGTCCATACAGGAACAGTGATAGAAACTACCGGTCGCCAGTTCGCCCAATGCGACTGAATCTGCATTGGGGCGACCAAGTTTTTTAAAAATGCACAATTTTGTCGCCAGTCAAAAAAGTTCTGGGCGACTAGATTTATCTATACGTGTCAAATAAAATGTATGTAATTCATATGCTTTTTCAGATGTTTTAATCACTTATCAATTGCTTGAATAAATCGTGAATACCTTAAAACATCGGGAAAAGTGCGTGCTGTTGACGATAGCGCCATATTTACATCCGGGTTGGCACCGATGTAATACTGTATTTGATTGGCTCAGATAGTAACAGTACCCAATCAGGAAACGTATTGTTCATACGGCTCACTTTCCCAACATGGCGGAAGCTTGGTTATTTCTCAACCGTTAGCCCGCAAAGCCCCCGGCGAGCAAATATGCCAAGTAAGTTATAATCTAGATATTTTAACGTGAAATCACATACATGTAATAATTTGAATATGACTTTCATTCATCAAAACACTGGTAGAATTTATATGTTCAGTCACGGACCTCAGGGATAAATCTACCCGCGTGTCCTGCGTAATATACTCATGAAAATTTGAAAGGACGCACAAATATTTTACATGTGCGTCCTGTGGATGCATACATATGCACTGATTATACATGCTTTCTCGGACAGATGCTTCGGCAGCGGGTCCATATCAAAGTTGTCAAACAGCAAAGTAACAATGTTTCGTGGAAATAATTAAACAAATTGAATAAACTGAAGAATAAAATCAACAACAGTACTCATATTAGTCATAAAAGTTGTCAAACATACATAATAACTTACTATTTCCATCTTTATTGAGCGATCGTAGTGTAATTCAAGAGACATCTCGGCTTTCATCGCCTCGAACTTAGCGCTCGGACACGATGTTTAATGGCTAAAATATATGCATAAAGCATTTTTGTCACAGGTCATAACCTTGCACGATACGTCCACTAAGTTCCATAATATACGTATAGGTGGTGATTTTTTGCATAACACGTTCAGAATATCATGATTTTACCCAAAACTTCCGTCTGAATCTATAAGTTTTTGTTTACGAGGACGGTATCCATTGCTTTAATATGATTGGCTGCCTTAGGGTCACATGCATGATTTCGACCAATCACGACCCTTATAGCAGACTGTGGCGAAAAAGCGTCATTAGAAACCAATCTTTATCCAATAAAATCGCTTCTTACAACTGTGAAAATACTCTTGGCAAGGGTACAGTGATATTGTTGATGTTCGAGCTTTTGAACGACAGCCGCCATCAAACTAATCGCCTCTCATGTTATTCATATGAAGCTTCAAAACGGAGGTATTTTCCACTGTTGTATCTCGCTACTGAGCAGAAAGGCACTGATAACGGGAAATAGGCGACCATACATATTATTTGAGAAATCTTTTATAATAATTTTCCGATCACGTAAAAATGAAAAAAAGAAAAGAAAAAGGTAACGGGATATTATGACATGTTACAAATGGAAAAAAATCGCCGCATTTTTTGCTTCCTTTGTGGTTTATCCGGACATTATAATTGTGTAAGCTTGCATTTTCATTTAAATTAACTTATTTAAGTTGTAGTTGCATTATTTGAATAATATGATAAAAGATAAATTTCATATTTATAAACAGGTATCTAGGATTAGACCTTCATTTTCGATTTCCTACATACGAATTGAAGACATATTTTAGTAAGTCATGTTTAATCAAGTTATAACTTATAATAAATTGATAAAAGTATATGATAACTAAATTAGAAAAATATTATGATCACTTGTAGGGGATTGAAAAGTTATAAACATTTTGACATTATCAGAAATGAATTTCAGTTATACATCTATAATACATGATCTACACTGATTCTACAGACAGTGAAACAGTTGACATTCTACAAGTGAATGTCATAGTAATTTTGTTTCATATCTTTTTATTGATCATGTCATTTATGTAACATATTTTTTCATGAACATAATATTGCTTATCAAATATTTTCGTAAAATGAAATACAATTTTCAACAGCAACAAAGCATTCAAATTTAAATTATACTATAAAGTGTACACCCTCTTCCTGTTATATTTATTCGCAACTCAGTTACTGCCAATATGTGTTAGTTTGTACTAAATTTATTTGGGCCACCAAAAAGTGGTTTGGGCTACTAACTTTCAAAAAGTGGTGACCAGACTTGAAACATTTGGGCCACTAGAGTTTTTGAACGAGTTTCTATCACTGCAGGAATGATCAGATTCTATATTTATAACATAAATATATTCCACAATCCTGGTGCAGAAGTGTACTGTTGTATGTATTTGTCAACACTATCAGTCAGTGAGTATATTATTTCTGTTAGTTCATAACTGTTTTCTTGCATATCACAAATGCAACAAAATAACTAAGTCCACCATGATACTATTTATATATTAGGGATAACATATTTTTGTTCCAGTGATTTATAGTGTATATGTATACATATCTATTATTTCATGACACCTTAGTAAAATAAAGCGAGTGAGTGAGTTTGGTTTATGCCGCTTTTACCAATATTCCAGCAATATCACGGCTGGGGACACCAGAAAACAGCTTCACACATTGTACCCATATGGGGAATCGAACACAGGTTTTCAGCGTGATAAGCAAATGCTTTAACCAATAGGCTACCCCGACGCCCCAATAAATATAGAATACCATTACAAGGAATAAATGAACATAAATTATGTTAATTTCATTATTCAAAGAACATAATTTAAGTTAATTGAGGTGGTCTGCATGTGTTTACTAATGTTGTATATAGATATAATCAAAGATAATATTTGACATGGCTTGTAGTCTAGTCACCCCACTGCACTAAGGCCTCAACTTTGTTGTGTCAATTATTACAACAGCACTTTCAATGCTTAATACATCTTGGAAGTGTAATATTATAATGTTTTTTTTGTATTTTAGACAGTGATCCTAACTGAGTGATTTTATAATGTACCAACAATACATTTTTCATTTACGAATAATATACATATAGCCGAGTTGACTTATACATAACGTTGTAAACTTACAACAGTTAACAATAAATATTTCTACAGGTCTTGATGAAAAAAAGCTGACAATGACACGCTGTTCAGGGATGCACTGGAACCCAAAACATTTACCAGCTTGAAAAGTGATGATATACAATGCCACCAATTAAAAACACTTGTCAAATATCAGCACTAGCGATACTTTTACCATTAGACACTGACTTTAGCAAATGGGGTAGTAATAATGATAACAACTATGGAGCATATCAAGAATCTGGTGTTTTTCAAAAACAATATTTCCGGAAGAATGTTCCAGTTTTTAAGGCAACACTCTGGAGGCAGGATCCGGTCTATATCTTTTACTTCATCAATTTTACTTGTCTTCATACTGTTTTGTTTTCATTAGTTTCTCTCTGCTAAGACACTGAGAAACCATTCCTGTCTAACCAAGGCAGTCAACAAGTGTTGTCTTAATTTATAGCATAAGTTTTTCTAAATCAAATATGCATGTTCTCAGACACTTAACTACATTTACTGAACCAGTTGACAGTCAATGTTGAAAAGATGCTAGGCCCATAATTATCACACACTGACATAGGTACAAGCTGATGATTCCTATGATACTAACTAGTTTTATGAATAGAGACAATGATATGGTAAGCTGACCATGCTGACTCACACTGAATCATCATTCAGTCCCTACTTTGATCAGTGTAGATAACAACATTTAAATTATCTTACTAAGATTACGAATAAGAAATTTTAAAATCAAGATATGTCATCAATCAATGGTTGCTTAACTTGTCTTGCCACTGTACCTATAAAGCTATCACAGATACCAATAATGCTCTCAAAAGATAAATGAAGTTAAATGTCAATAACATATCCAGATTTTTTAGGTATATGTGATATTTCAAGTCATGACCATTCTTGCTACATGAACTAAATTATGTCTTTATGTACATTGTATCATAGTTTTTTGTACCACCGTGGGTGTTTGTGAAAAACTTTCAGGATGTAGAACTATGTTCATTATAATGTGTCTTGTTATTGTCACTGTCTTTCAATATACCATCAAGCTACTGACTACATCCAGACATCGATACTTCAAATTCCAAGGCAAGCCACTATACTACACACAACTGGAATTATTTCTGACAGTGTATGAGGAGTGAGTCATATTCAGCTGATGCCGGCAAGACTTTCTGCTACTGACCTACTAGTGACATTTACAGAAGAGTTTCTACATTGTGGTGCAGACAGAATGTATGCATTCTTTCAGTTTTTCTCCCGTGGAACTTCTACAGCTTATGCTTGCCAATGTCCCTACGGTGGATTTGCCTGAATATGTGTTTATTCCTTTGACTATTCATCTAGTTGCAGTTACGCTTCTTCTTCTTCTTCTTCTTCGTGGAAACAGAATCAATGAATATCAATAATTTCTAAGCTCATAGTTCACAAGTTTACACATCCATTCAAACTATATAAAAAATCATACCAATCATGTAAATGTACTACATTTTCACACTTGGAAATCAATTCATGAAAATCAATATCTCCAAAAATACAGATATGCTTCTTGTTCTTACACATGTATGGTTTGTTTGTTTGCTGTTAAATATTATAGACATGTGCCAGAGCTGTGAAAATGATCTCATTTGGACCAAATATGTTTGTGGTCGATATTGCACCAACAACTCATGTGGTAGCTGTATGATGACACCAGGCATCTAGTAACAATGACACCAAGACTCTAGTAACAATGACACCAAGACTCAAGTAACAATGACACCAGGAATCAAATAATAATGACACCAGGAAGCAAGTAACAATGACACCAGGAAGCAAGTAACAATGACACCAAGAATCTAATAACAATGACACCAGGAATCTAGTAACAATGACACCAGGAATATAGTAACAATGACACCAGGAATCTAGTAACAATGACACCAGGAATCTAGTAACAATGACACCAGGAATCTAGTAACAATGATATCAGGAATCTAGTAACAATTAGTGGTGGTCCAATCAATTAAAATAATCTAAGACAGCAGGAATCAAGCAGTCAATCATGTTTTCTCATAATCGGACACAAACAATTTTGGAACACTTGTTTGCATGAACAATACTAATCACAAGGTAGGTTTTGTCTGTGTCATTAAATTTACATTTCATGAGAACTCTCAGCCTGTTCCAAGTCATGATTGAATTTATCTTAAAGACACCAGGAATTTTATGTCCTTAACATACTAGTAATCCTTTAAAGATGTAAAAATTTGCAAATGCATTTTGTGCAATTTGCAAAAAAAAACAAAAACAACTTTTGTGCATTAACAAACATAACAGGAAAATTTGATAAATGACACAAACCTATTATTTTCGATGATTAATTAGTTGTAATGACATTAATTATGAGATTTTAACCAATTCCCCACACTAGTAACAATGACACCAGGAATCTAGTAACAATGACACCAGGAATCAAGTAACAATGACACCAAGAATCTAGTAACAATGACACCAGGAATCAAGTAACAATGACACCAGGAATCAAGTAACAATGACACCAGGAATCAAGTAACAATGACACCAGGAATCAAGTAACAATGACACAAGGAATCTAGTAACAATGACACCAGGAATCTAGTAACAATGACACCAGGAATCAAGTAACAATGACACCAGGAATCAAGTAACAATGACACCAGGAATCTAGTAACAATGACACCAGGAATCAAGTAACGAGGAATCTAGTAACAATGACACCAGGAACTTAGTAACAATGACACCAGGAATCTAGTAACAATGACACCAGGAATCAAGTAACAATGACACCAGGAATCAAGTAACAATGACACCAGGAATCTAGTAACAATGACACCAGGAATCAAGTAACAATGACACCAGGAATCTAGTAACAATGACACCAGGAATCTAGTAACAATGACACCAGGAATCAAGTAACAATGACACCAGGAATCTACTAACAATGACACCAGGAATAAAGTAACAATGACACCAGGAATCAAGTAACAATGACACCAGGAATCAAGTAACAATGACACCAGGAATCAAGTAACAATGACACCAGGAATCAAGTAACAATGACAGGAATCTAGTAACAATGACACCAGGAATCAAGTAACAATGACACCAGGAATCTAGTAACAATGACACCAGGAATCTAGTAACAATGACACCAGGAACCAAGTAACAATGACACCAGGAATCTAGTAACAATGACACCAGGAATCAAGTAACAATGACACCAGGAATCTAGTAACAATGACACCAGGAATCTAGTAACAATGACACTAGGAATCTAGTAACAATGACACCAGGAATCTAGTAACAATGACACCAGGAATCTAGTAACAACAAAAATTTTTAAAAATGACACCAGGAATCAAAGTAACAATGACATCAGTTGTAATGAACCAATCTAGAGATATTAACCAATTCCCAACAAGTAACAATGACACCAGGAATCTAGTAACGATGACACCAGGAATCTAGTAACAATGACATCATGTATCTAGTAACCAAGTGTGACCACCTGATATATCTGGTCACAACTTACAACCAGTACAGTGGGGTACCTCTAACCCTGATAGTCCAAAGGGTTGTAGATATATAAAAGTACTGAGGTAATATGTAATCAACAATGTAGAGGTCAATACACTGCTTACCTCTGCTCTCTTCAGCATCTCCCACTTGTTGAGGATCTTCATTGCATAAACCTGGTCTGTCTGCTTCTCCTTCACCACTGCCACCTATGAAGTAGGACAAGATATCGTATTAGTTGACACTGCTCAAGTTGCCTTCATTTTTCAGCTTTTATATTACACACCTCGTTAAATATAATGATAAAGGTTGGAAACAGAAACAGAAATGCACTCTTTTTCACATCATGCCATAGGTCACTATTTAATATGTTTATGCATGCCCTGTGGACTTATCTGCCCCTTTCATGATGAGGTTATTTGTGCTATACATCACCTAAACAAAGAATTAAATCTCTTACTCAATTACATAAATGTATTTGGAACTGTGGTGGGGTCAGCTTTGAGAAACACCAAGCTGGGATGTTTGGAAATAAATTCATTACTCTCTGAAGAATTTTCTGAGGATCCTTTAAAATTATTGATAACATTGTCAGAAAAAAACCCGATGCCAACTGGGAGCTTGGTCATCTTGTCAATGGACTGTCATAATTCACTTTGAAAGTACAAAAACAAAACAAAGACAACATAGTTTTCGTTCTGGACTTATTTTATTGTCTGCTTGCTTACCACCTTTGCTTAAAGTCAATAATGTATTGTGTGAGTAATGCCCAGTGAGAATACAATGGTGGCACCAATGCGCCATGAGAATGAAAAATGCTTATACTTATTTGCATTAAATGGTTTGGATAGGTTTTTCTTGTAATACATGTTAATCATTTCCAGAGTATTTTGATCGAATAACTGCAGTTTTTAGGTGTGCTCTCAGGGCACCAGAAAAATAATTTAAACATGACATTGGGACTCAAATAAAAGGAACTCTGAAAACAATGGCAAACTGAATAATCAAATGAGTGAGTTGGGCTTTCTACCATAAGTCATTCTTCCAGCCATATCACAGCAGGGACACCATTAAATAGCATGCACATTGTATCCATGTGGGGAATCAAAACCTGACTATCTACCAGCTGACTCCATGGGACCTTAAGCAAAAGTTCAAGGTCATGGTTGACAAACAGTCCAAATGATTCTCATTTATGTCCTGCAATCAACTGGTGTCAAAACCATAAAAACTTGTGCAGCTCATTCCTAACTTGTTTTCCACTTAAACCCACTAACTTAACACGATTTCTTCTAAAATACATTTGTAAACACCTTCCTGGACATCAAAAATTGTAAATTACATCCTTTTAAACGGTTGTCACTGTCAATATTTAGTATTTAATCTCAGTATTCTTACTCAAGTTCCTGCAGCTTCTGCTAGCATTTCTAGAAAAGAAAACTGACAAACTAGTGCTCTTAGGTCGACAGATGGCTCAGGTTTCTCTGTCCATTTACAAACCATGTCATGCATGAGTAAACACTTAAATTGTCAGGAATTTTTAACAGGTCTCGGGGACACATGTAGGTTTGTCTCTTTGCGTCCCAGTATTGCTCATTGCATATTTATGTTCATGGGACGACACAAGGCAAACACTGATTACAATCAGGATTGCTGTGTTCCTTTTCATGGTGGTGCATAATTCTCGCTCATACTTCATTATGACATGTACACACTCTGCAGTCTGACAAATGTAAAAATAATTGGCTTTTAAGCAAATGAGGTACATGTCTTGTTTTCCATCAGATGATCACATTTTGCAAAACAGAGAAAAAGAACTTTGGTTCTTGAAATGTTTGAGTTAGTAGATCATATACCACCAAAATGAGTATATGTTTCTGGAAATGTACCCATTTCAGGATTCGAACCCCGCCTTAGGCATGAGGAGTGAATGAGAGAGTGAGTGAGCATGGTTTTCAATGCTTTTAGCAATATTCCAGCAATATCAGGGCATTGGACATCTGAAATAGGCTTCACACATTGTGCTCATGTGGGGAATCAAACCAGGGTCTTCAGCATGACGAGCAGACGCTTCAACCATTAGGCTACCCCACCACCCCAGGGAGACCCCATCACACTCACTTGTAATGTATTGAGACATGGATATAATAAATGTCAAGGGGAATCTATTCTTAGCTATTCTGCTGAAAGGTTCAAAGATTACAGCAACAGAAGCCTCTGCTGTCGGGCTGATTAGATACAGCTGGGCATTCCCTGTGAGAATGTGAATAGTCTTTTACATTTCTGACAACTTCATTAAATTTGACACAATAAAACACTCAACGTCCTTGAAGTATACCTCACAAATTGTCCCTTGTATTTATTCAACATTGAAATAATGTAGGAAAATTGGGTATTTTTCATTACACTTCTGATAATTTTTCAATATTCTGCATAAGATTTTCAGTACAAAAATAATCGAGACATTGTCCAAAAGAAATGAAGAGACAAATCCAATCAATAATTTTGGGATAGGCACTCAATATTCAGCACCCCCCCTCCAGTACAAAATTAGAAACAATCAGCCTAATGTTTTGCGGTTATGGTGTGTGATGTTTTCAAATGGATAACACAAGCTAAAAAGCAGGCCTGTTCCACATTTGTTGCCTTTCCCAATTTAGAATAGTAGCATCAACTATTTTCACTTCCACTGTCTGTAACTGCAGTAGACTTTTCTACATGGAAAGTGAGACATGAATCTGACACTTGACCTGTGTGTTTTAGTATCAGTAACAGAGACAAATAATTTCCTGATGAACCTTCTGACAAGGAAGTGCATCTGTTTTCCTCTTGCATCTCACATATCACATTGAACTTCCTATACCACACTTTATCTTTGTGAACACATCTCAAATGAAGGGAAACATCCACTTCACTTCTGTTCAGTGAAACAGTTCATAGTGGAATTGTCACTCATATAGATACACCTTTTATACTGTATTTCACAACTTGTCAAATGGACAAAATGGTAAACAAGAGTATATCAATGAGTGAGTGAGTGAGTTTAGTTTTACGCCGCGCTCAGCGATATTCCAGCTATATGGCGGCGGTCTGTAAATAATCGAGTCTAGACCAGACAATCCAGTGATCAACAGCATGAGCATCGATCTGCGCAATTGGGAACCGATGACATGTGTCAACCAAGTCAGCGAGCCTGACCACCCGATCCCGTTAGTCGCCTCTTACGACAAGCATGGGTTACTGAAGATCAATATTCTAACCCGGACCTTCATGGGTAGTATATCAATGAATCTCACACAAAAGCAAGTTTTGAGAAAGGAGCTATATTAGTCAATACTCGATGACTGTTAGGTATATTTTGTTTAACATATTTCTTAATCCTAATGTAGCATTGACCTTAGACTGAAGTCATTTAATATGTACACTCATGATGAGGTCACCATGACATGAATTTCAAGTTTGTTCAAACTGAATAACAAATACGCTTAATTGTCACACAAAGTGACCAGCAACATGCTATATATGGGATTACACTTTCTCAGTAAGGCACAGATTCTAGTACTTTTGTTGGGTTGTGTCCCATCCAGGATTCAAACACATACTCTCAGTCAGGTACCTAATCGCCAGCACACAAAGTCACCCACCTAACCCGCTCAGCTAGGGAAGTTGCAGTGGCTGAGCGGGTTAGGTGGCTGACTTTGTGTGCTGGCAATTAGGTGCCTGAATCTGAGGGTGTGGGTTCGAATCCCGGATGGGACGCAACCCAAAAATGTGTCACGAATTTGTACTTTACCAAGAAAGTGTAATCAGAAATATAAAATGTGTTACATTTGACCACTTTCTAAGTAGCACAGTGTATTCAAAGTGACACGCATTTCTGTTCAATTCTTGCACAGAACAAATTTAACAAATGTGCAAGGCGTATGAAGTATAAAGCAACTAAAAACTCATAAATGACAGAATGAGCTCATGGAAAACAATTTACATGTATTGCTGTTGCAGTGAAAAAGGGGCTGTTTAATTCTCAAGCTAAAAATCTTTCTGATGATTTAAAGTTTGGCATCCTTGAGTCATCACTTGTGCTCATCCTTTTTACAAATAAAGTCCATAATTCAGCTCCAAGACTATAATCTAGACTGCACATCTTCCTTTCCTAAATTGAAGATAAGCATGATAACAGCTAATGCTAAAGTAACACTGATGTATGTCAGTGCAAGTCAAAGTCATCCTTACCTCTCCAAAAGCACCCCTCCCAATGATCTTCAGGGTCTCGAAGTCGTCTCGGTGGAGTCGACATGTCTTGATTTTCCCGACTATTGGTTTTGCTAAAATAAAAAAAGGAAACATTTTGAAATTTAACAAATTCTAGCTTGAAACCATTCTCTTAACCAAACTGTGCAGCACAGCTACAGCCACAACCTGGACCTGACAAACCAATGGTTGATAGCATGATTAATAATTCAATGTTTGGGTCATGATGACACACAACCAGACAAGTACAACACCTATAGGAACAAGCCTAATTTACAGTACAGGAGTTGGATCCACCGACATGAATGGGATACTGAGACTATTTCTACCTGGGAATTCCGTGATAAGAACCAATAAGGCACATTAGGTAAAACTCCCAACTTAGTATACAACAATACACCACTTGCCCTGCTTCTCCTATTTTCACCATGACACCCAACAGTTATCACCGCATGTAGCAGATTCACCTATAGGCATCATCACAAATCAAATTCTCTTTAATATTAAACTAAATACCACAGTTATCCATGTTTTTATTGTAACATTCGATAACACTATGAAAAATGTCTTGTGGGTTTTGCAGGGTTGTAAAATATGACCGGCATCTAGAACTAGAACTTAGCTCAGGCGAGTTCTATGTAAGATGACACAATTTGGCTAAATCCCAAAAATTTATGAAGCATGTTAATCATTCACATCAAAACTTCAAAGAGAGCAACTTTCAGATCTATGACTCACTACAAACAAGAAACATAGTAGTGTATGCCATGTGACTGATACAAACTTCCGTTTATCCCTGTTTTTACAGCTCTCCATACTATGACAAATACACTGGACCCATTCCCCATTGTTTCAAATGTGACGTCAATACTACCACCACTCATGTCTCAAACTAACCATATTTCTCTCTCTTGTGAGAGTAATTCGATTGCTTTTCACCACTCCAATGGTTCTGAATATGGTTGGGGTAACTTATACCATCGTAACAGAATATACTGGAAAAGCAAGAATGAGCATATTTGATCAGTGAAAACAGTTTATCCAACCAGAACATTAACAGAATGAATTTCAACATTCTCAGTGCTAATACTGTTGATGTCCAGTCTACATATCAGATGGTTAAACATCATTTGATATTGGAATGTTTATCTATACTTAACCACTGTTAATCACTCATCATCTGTCAGGGGTCACTGTTCATTATGTCATCTAGAGATGGAAGCCGATTCAGACCTATAATTCCTCAATAATGTTTGTTGTACAATATAGTTCAACACTTCAACAATGTGAGGACGGTCTGTAAATATTAATATAGACCTGACAATCAAGTGGGTGATATCATGAGTGGTGAGAGTATGGTTTTAAGCCGCTTTTAGCAATATTCCAGCAATATCACGACGGGGAACACCGGAAATGGGCTTCACGCATTGTACCCATGTGGGGATTCGAACCCGGGTCTTCGGCGTGACAAGCGGAAACTGTAACAAGGCTACCCCACCGCCCCCATAGTGATATCATGCATATTTATCCACTAAACTATGACACAATGACATGCAATCATCATGATTATTCATCAAGAAAATCACTGAGAATGACCATACAACTCTTCAGTCACCTTTAGACAAAGGTTGCTGTGGACCTATATTCTTACTCCATAGAATAATAGGAACACCCCTATCAATAACTGAGCTGTTACAAGCCTCAACCAATCTCTGCAAGAAATTGTTGCGTCAACCAACTAAATTTGGTCCATTTCTGAAGACACTTGAGTTATTATTTGGGATGTTACTATGTATATTCAAATATATATGTTCACTTAATCATTAATGTCAATGCCTGTTTACAAATTTAGAAACATTGACATTAAATTGATTATTCACTACCAGAAACATTTACATTTATAAAGATTACCGAGGTTAAACGAGAGAAAGTCAATTTTCAACATAAAACGAATCAGCTTAGTTCATATTTAGCATGCTATTGATTAATTCCAGTCTACATACAGGGATGGAAATAACTTTAAAATTGCTAGTGTACTCCGGTACAGTGGCACATGTAAAATCACTTGCCCTGATAAGTTTTCCACTATACCGGCCGTTTTCTTGTTGATTTTTTAAATAAACAACATTATTAACATTGGAAAGTCAACTGGACACCAGTACAGCGTGATATACAAATCAGCTTGCCCAACAGAAAAAAACACTTGACTCGGACGTTGGGTAATGGGTTATTTCCACCCCTGACATAGGTAATTGTCATCCTCACACACACACTTTTTCATCACTAATTGATTTACTTCAATGTTGGTGTTCAAAATGAAGCATGAATATGACGGGCAGGGTTTTCCCTTCACCTACAATATAAGGGATAAGGGGGCAATAAATAGCATCAAAACTGACTGAGTTTGGTTTTACGCCGCTTATTGCAATATTCCAGCAACATCACGGCGGGGGACACCAGAAATGGGCTTCACACATTGTGCCCATGTGGGGATTCGAACCCGGGTCTTCGGCGTGACGAGCCAACGCTTTAACCATTAGGCTACCCCACCGCCCAAATAGCATCTAAAAACATACTTAGAGTAACAGCTAATTTGAATACCAAGTGACATAATGAAATGGTGAAGTCTACAATACTGGAAGATTTGATAATTATATTAATTATAAATAAATGTCCTGAAATCGATAAAATCCACAGGATGAAGACAGATTTCTTCTGCCTCTGTTCTATACATTTGTGTATACAGGACACATATTTCTGTAACACAAAACATAGCAAGGTGTCCTTGTTATACCCTGATGTTAAAAGATCAAGGGGTCAGTAGGTTCGCATACGATAAGATCCCTCAAGGACCATTGCATCCTCCATAAAATCTAACAACGGATACACAACCTACCATCAACTACACCCCTAGTTATTATTTTGATGATGAACTTATTTGATCAAAGAGAATGCAACAAGAGTAAGCCTGACTGACTGAGTTTGGTTTTACGCCGCTTTTAGCAATATTCCAGCAACATCACGGCGGGGGACACCAGAAATGGGTTTCACACATTGTACCCATGTGGGGATTCGAACCCGGGTCTTCGGCGGACGAGCCAACGCTTTAACCACTAGCACAAGAGTAAGACTTCAGAAAAACGCCTTGAACTGTTTCACTATCTCAGAACTCTACTAACTCAAAATAAACGTACAAAGTACAAGGAATAAGTAGCACTCTGATCACAATAACCAGACACTTAACATCCTGACAAATCGTGACACACATCAAAATAAAAAAAGTTCAGGAAAAATTAGACAATGTGGGAGATACAATTACCCATGAAGCATCTGCATGTGATCAACAACCAGTAATGTATACTGCACAGGAAAGATGAGTATCTGTACCACCCAATCACACAGACACACAGATGCCTAATTTACCTGTCAACAAAAGGGTTCATCACTCAAATGAAACCTAATTGCCTGCCTTGGTTCTGAATCTAAAGGTTTTAATGGACCTACTGTGGTGTTAAACTGGTGTAACTGACATGGACAGTCGTGAAGGAATACATGTTAACACAACAGTAAGACAAACATTCCCAAATCATCAAAGCAAATTGCATACAAACACATTGTATTGTTGAAATGGCTGATAAAAATAACTCCTCTATGACTAAGCTGGATAATTCATCAGCAATTTAATCCATTTTATACCTTTCAACATATTTAAATACATCTCTAATTTTTTCAATGACTCAGCATTCAAAAATTCTTCCAGAGAAAACTACCTAATTATCTTAGATTCTTTTCAAAACCTGCAACCATACTAATGGGACCAAACGTGTTTAATGAGCATCAGCTGAACTACACATAGCTTTTCACATTATACTCATGGCCTTTTACCTAAGTTGACTAGACATTTACAAAAGTGAATATTACTAATCACAAAATCAACACAAGCAGGAATCAGATATCATTTGAATTGAACTTAGATAGCCTTTTAAAACTATTATCTCCAGTAAAGTTACCATTTTTTAAGAATCTACCGTATTCCACTTGCTTTTAATGTTTCACCTTTATCCCTGAACGACAAGAACATACTCCACAACCAACACAAGCATGAAAGACAAAAGAAGACTTTGTTTTATCTCCTAGCCTTTCTATCCCTACATTCTTGTTATAAGAAGTCCACCTGTCCAGGCTATTTCCAGCCTTATTTCCTGGCTCTTTAAAAGGCTAATTAGCATGCTTCTACCAGTTGTTCACATGTGGGACAAAAAACATTTGCTGACTTCCTGAGGATCCCAGCCTCTTCCTTGCTAGACATAATTAACAACACTCTTGAAAAGAAACGTACATATCAATTTTTTACAAACCTAATGAAAGTTTAATTGGAGACAGTCATCCATTATCTTCTCCAAGGGTGTCATAATACTACAGGCACTTTGTGAGTGGTAAGATAGGCCTAAACATAATCAATACCACCACTCTTCTCTTATAATAATACTTTAATGCAAATATCATATAACTAGATGGATGTTTTGTGGCTTTTGAGAACGTCATAATCAATAATATATGATTTTCAAAAAAAGGATCAGTCATACAAGTAATGCAAAAAGAAACTATTCTGCATTGCCTGGTTAGGTCAAAACCAATATTGTTTACAAGTTCTCAATAATTAATCAATCACCATTATGATGCAAATGAGTAAAGCTTGATGAATCATTGATCAAAACTAATAGTCACCATTGCATTACAAACAAATCATATGCAATGTAGTCTTAGGTTGTAACAAGATAAAGTTTAGAATCTTTCTACATCAGCTATCATGATTGATTTTGACAGATGATAGTTTCAGTTCTACCAACAGAAATCAATTGATAAATATTTAACATTACAAATGAGCCCATCCTTGTCCAGTCTTAAAAATCAAAACGGTTATTTACATCCTGGAAAATAACAAATAAATAATAATGACCGAATTATTAACAGAAGATTGGTGATGCATATGCTGCATCCAAAGCCTTTTGGGAAATGTATTTGAAACTGCACATGTTGTATCAATACGCTCTAACATTTCATATGAATTCAG